GTGGCTGAGATCTCCTGGGTGATAAGGACGCCTTAGGCAGTTGAATGTGCATGCGTACTCCATCCATTTCCTCCCACCCACCCCTCCACATGGCCCGGGTGCTGGCAACCCACGTTAGGCCACTTGGCAGAGATATGAGAGAAACACCACTTTCTTGCCACACTGCTTTAATTCGCTTTGGGTCAGTTTGAAGAGCTTTTTTCATGGCATCGGAAAGCTTGCCACCACCACCGCAAAACATTACCAACTCTTGATATAAAAGAAAAGTGACTCCCTGCAACAAAATGTTGCAGCAATATAGCCCTGGTGTGTATGTGTATGCTACAGTCTGTGATGGAGGGGGATTGAAAATATAAGGTAGACTGGGGTTCCTGCTCTAACCTCGGCCTTATTTCATGTGGAGTTGTGTTTTTTTAAAAAAGAATTTTGAATATTTAAATTTGTAGCCAATCTGCATGCAAGTCAGTGAAGCCTGAGGCTTCCGCATGCAATTGTGTGCTTGCGTTGGCTTGCAAAGTCTGACAGGGCTACATAAGCACAGCCACAGGAAGACTGATCAGTATTAGTATATGGATTCAATAAATAGCATCCATTATTTCATTATCATATGCTATATAATTAAATAGTCACGCTTTATATGATAGCGAAATTTCCTTCTCAGGAAACTCATCCCACAGCTTCAGGGTTGTAATAATAGAAAACAGTAGTTGCTGCTCCTCTCTGCAAGTGATTAATTAACTAACTAATATATCAGTTGTTATTAGGAGCATTGATTATTTTTATTATTATTTATATTTATTAGTTGCTTTGGTGACTGAAAAGGGACACGGGTGGCGCTGTGGGTTAAAGCCTCAGTGCCTAGGACTTGCCGATCGAAAGGTCGGCGGTTCGAATCCCCGCGGCGGGGTGCGCTCCCGTCGTTCGGTCCCAGCGCCTGCCCACCTAGCAGTTCGAAAGCACCTTCGGGTGCAAGTAGATAAATAGGGACCGCTTACCAGCGGGAAGGTAAACGCCGTTCCGTGTGCTGCGCTGGCTCGCCAGATGCAGCTTGTCACACTGGCCACGTGACCCGGAAGTGTCTGCGGACAGCGCTGGCTCCCGGCCTCTTAAGTGAGATGGGCGCACAACCCTAGAGTCTGTCAAGACTGGCCCGTACGGGCAGGGGTACCTTACCTTTACCTTGGTGACTGAAATTGTGCAAAGCTATTTACAAACACAACAAAAATACTAAAACCAATTACAGTAAACACAATCAATGAAAGATTCACCCCCACACTTGCAATCTGAAATGGTACATCCCCAGACAAGATTTATCACCTCAGTGCGCATTAGTCCTCATTCTTCCTGTTTATTCCTTTCCTCCTGTTCTGTCTTCTCTTGAGTAGTCGATGGCCCATTAGAATCCTCTAATTTCCCTGTTTTATCCTAAATTATTGGTTTCTGTGCTGTAATTTATCATTCAGGAACCCAGAGTTTGAATCCGTTCTTCACAGATGTTCTGCTTTCCCTCCACCCCTTCCTTTCTTCCCTCTTCTATAAGAAGGGTTTGCTTTGCCCTATATCTGCAAACATCCATTAGGAGTTTTCTGATCCTTTATTTTTTATTTAGAATTCTGCCAAGCATATAGCGTAACCCAGTGTGATCTTGTAAAAACCCACGCTTGCACAGAACGTTAATTAGTTTCAATCCATGTTTTTCCTGACGAGGCTTCTTTTCTCCTCTTTACCTGGAGGGCTGAATCAAAGCAAAAGGTGGTCAACTTTCTCAAAGGTTTGTGCGATGTAGCGATTAGAGGTCTGGGTAAGGACTGGCAGGATGCAGGTTTGAATCCCATGTAGCTCACAGGTTGATTGTTGGCTGCCCTTGAAGAGTACCTTGGAAGTCAAACGGACACCAAACATTCGGAAACCAAAGCACAGCTTCTAATTGGCTGCAGGAACCTCCTGCAGCCAGTCGGAAGCTGCGGAAGCCCAGTCGGATGTTTGGCTTCCAAAAAAACCATCAACTTCCAGTTTTCAGTTGTTCGGGAGCTGAAATGTTTGGCAACTAAGCCGTTTGAGATCCAAGGTATGACTGTATTCAGTCACTGTGTTTGGGTGCAAAATGCCGTTTCTGGATTTCTTTCTTTGTGGATCATATGATACCAATCCTCTTCCATCTGCACCAGTTCTCTGGCTTGCTGTTCAATACGAATACCAAAAATGATATTCAATACAGCATGAAAGTCAGGAACTTAATAGCACCACAGCATCAACAATATAACAAAGCTGTTCAATCCATAGCAGTAGATTTCCGATCCTTCCCTCTTTCTTAGCCATGTGCAAGCTCCAGTCAAGAATTGCACCACCTCACGCTAAATAACGTGATGAGCAGCAGTGGTAGACTTTGGCTCTCAACATTCAGTGCTCCTCCACCTCTCGCCTTCTGTTGTTCTTCATTGTTGTGGCGCCTTTTCGTCCCGGCACCCAGTGCAGGTGAACGAGTCACGCTCTCCTAAGTCTGTTTCTGTGAGCAGCTCTGAAATCATTTCTCCCACTTCTTGCACAAAGTAGAAGGGATTGATTTCACTTATTTAATAAAAAAACAATTGCTTTTCTGCTTCTGGTGGTACATGGAAAATGTAATGAAGACAGCTCCCATTTTTTCATTTTAATGTTTGACGGACTACTGTATTGCAATATTTTGTTGGAAGCCACCCAGAGTGGCTGGGAAAACCCAGTCAGATGGGTGGGCGGGGTAAAAATAATAATAATAATAATAATAATAATAATAATAATAATAATATTATTATTATTATTATTATTATTATTATTATTATTATTATTATTATTTCAATATTTGTAAATTCAATATATGTAAATTAATATTTCTGCGCCTTAATTTTAAAAACGCACTTTGGGCAGCGTCCGCCCAATACTTCTTGTCACCTGAGGAGGAAGAGCAGCTTGTGACCTTCCCCCACCTGCAAGCCAAGGTGCACGCTACCCAAGACTGAGGGAGAAAATCCCAGAACTGCTTCTTTCTGGGAGTAAACATTCAGCAATAATAAATTAAATAACTTTTAACAATTGGCTGTTCATTTGCGACACTGAAAATCAGATGCCTGAGGCAGCTGCCTCACTCTGCCTAATGGTATGGTTGGCTTGGGACAGTTTGCTTTTCTTGTGCACTCTCTATGCTTGAGATGCTTTAACTGTTTCACATACCATTTCTTAACCTATTTTGTGAGCGCTGCAGCCTATTTAGCAACTGGCCTTAATAAGCGATCCATGAGCAAGTGGAATGGCTGAGTTTGCAGAGCATGAGACTCTTCATCTCAGGTTTGTGGGTTTGAGCCCCACACTGGGCAAAAAAATTCCTGAATTGCAGGGACTTGGACTAGATAAGGGACCCTTGTGGTCCCTTCCAACTCTATAATTCCGAGTCTTATGTGTAGTGGAACCGGAAAGGAGGATGGGGCGGTTGGTTTGTCCATTCTCTGTTGCAAACTGTAAAAATGAGTAGCTGAAATGGAAGAAAGAAGTTGTGTGCATCTTGATTCCTCCAGTTTGCTTCAGAACCCCATGAGGACCCAAGTACATAGTATGTAAAATGTATATAAGTGATGTAAAAACCACAGCAGTATAATCCAAATCCATTTTGCTCACCACTGTAAAACAGGATAGGGTGGGAAGGCAGGGAAGGTAGAACAAGACAGGCATGGTTTGTTTGTTTTTTACTGGCATGCTAGAAGCTTGTTTCTATCTGCTTCTGTAGAGAATTATTGTCAGTCCCAAATTTCTTTGACGTTTCATGACAAATGATTCTCTGCGTTTTGCCCTTGCTGGAGCCTGCATGAGATTAGAGGTCACATGGGGTTTCAGCTTCATATAGCTGAATATTTTGAGGGGGTGGGGTGCCGGGATTGACACATCCAACTCTAGAGAAGCTGCAAATGTTTATTTGTTATGTTGCGGCTGTTCCAGTAGCCAGAAGATAATACAACTGGAGACTGCAGTTGGACAAGTCTTTGTGCTACCTAATCGTTACACGGAAGCTACCTTTTAATAACACTTTTAAACCATGATGCCAATTATTGTAACAGTTGTGCACAATTGTGCCCAAAAAGCTCTAATGTGATCCAGTTACTCCTCTTTACACTCAAACCCTGACCTTCTCATGGGTGTCAGAATGGAATTGTGCCTCCATTTTGACGTTAGTCCATCCAGGCAGTCATATCTTATGCCACAACCAGTAAAGAGTTGGTAAGAAAATATGACCAAATTGGAATTAGGCTTGGGCCTAATAAAGATAGTGCTCTGCTATGCAAGTTGGGTTAGCATTTTATCACATTTATTTCAGCGGCTTCATCAGTCCATTAGGTATTTTATTTATGCCGAAACATTTTCAACCCTTCAGTTTATGCATACAGCATAGTATCCACATTTTATTATTATTCATTTTATTTATTTATTGCATTTATATCCCCCTCCCCCCTCCATGAGCTCAAGGTTCCCCTCCTCATTTAATCCTCACAACAATCCTGAAAACTGAGTTAGGCTGAGAGGCAGTGATTGGCCCAAGGTCACCCAGTAAGCTTCATGGCTGAGTAGGGATTTGAACCCTGGTCTTAGACCGACACCCTAACCCAGAGCTTTCCAAATTGTGTGTCGCGACACATTAGTGTGTTGGCTGCGGTGTGTAGGTGTGCTCCCCACGCTCCTCCCGGGGTTAGTTTAATCTCCAGTTTGCTTATAAAACTGAATTACTGTGTCGTGAAATGATGCATGTCTAAAAAAGTTTGTCACCAGTATGAAAAGTTTGGAAAGCTTTGCTGTAACCACACAGGCTCTGTGGGTACCAGAGATTTCCCCCTCCATCTCTTTCCCTCCACTTTCTTCTTATTTTTTAAGGAGCTGCCTCCACACAGGAATAGGGCATTGGGCCAATGATTCAGCGTTAAATATGTGTTGTGTTGTTTTTTCAGATCTACTTACCCAACCTGTTTTCTGCTCTCTAGGTCACAGAACCTTGTTTATTGGAGTTCATGTGCCGCTGGGAGGAAGGAAAAGCCATCGCCGCCATCGACACCGAGGGCATAAACACAGAAAGAGAGACAGAGAACGGGATTCGGGTTTAGAAGATGGCAGAGAGTCTCCTTCATTTGGTAAGCTTTGCTTGGCTTTTAAAAATTTAATAGGCAACATTAGACAATTTGTGTAAATGGTGCATGCAATGGACATGTCCTGCCCCATTCTTGCCCTGCTGTAATTTCCAAATTCTTTTCCACACAGTGGAACATTACAGTGGAGGTACCTTCCTCTTGTTGTGTGTGGTGGTCCAGTTTTGACTACAGAACTGCTGACGAGCTGGAACTGAGTTGAGCATTGGAAGGAATGCTTCTAGAATGGTCTTATTATTCCTATCCCCGGCTTTTAGGGAAAGGTAGCCAAGTGTGGTGCTCTCCAAAAGTTGGGGACTTCAATTCCCATTATCCATGGTCATTGGTCCTGCAGGCTGGGCCTTGTGGTCCATATGGAGAATGCTATGTTGACTATCTCTGATTTAGGATTTTCATCTTCCAAAGTTTTCAAAGCAATCAATAAACATTACAGCACATTACAGTGGGCATTTCAAGTAGTGCCTCCTCACTTCCATCTCTGAACTTCGTTGCCCCTTCCTGTCTCTGGCTTTCTCTTTCTCAAGCCATGATTTTCCTCCCACTTTAAAGTTTCTCCTTTTCCCTTGCCTCTATTCTCTTGTCTGCTCTGCCATTCTCTTTTGCCACCTCTGTTTCCAGCTGCTCCCCTCTTCCCTGCTAATTTGCCTCTTCCCACCATATCTCCTTCCCCTTGTTTGTGTCATCCTTCCTGCACCAGAAGCCTCAGCAATGGCTGTTTAGCCGATGTGAACCCTGGTCCCCAAACATATTAAAATTCTAGGGGAGAAGGAAGACTTTAGCATGTATGGATACATGCACTCCATTGTACTTGGTGTCTTTGGTGGGGTTTTTCTTTCTTCTGGTCCTCTCCTTTAAAAAAAAAAAAAAGTTTGTGAATAAACTTGAGATTCACCCAAGAATGGAGGTACCTTCCTCTTGTTGTGTGTGGTGGTCCAGTTTTGACTACAGAACTGCTGATGAGCTGGAACTGAGTTGAGCATTGGAAGGAATGCTTCTAGAATGGTCTCATTATTCCTGCCCCCGGCTTTTAGGGAGAGGTAGGTGTTATGTACTGAAGTTCTCACCCTGGGCCAGCAGGGGGATACTGTAGATAGTTATGCAAATAAGGGATCGAAAGTGACGTTCAGTGATTGGATAGTTTTAGAAAATTGTTACAGATACGTTGTACTGGAGCTCTATATAAGCAGGCTCACTGAACCCTTCAATTCAGTTCTGTTCTGGCCTATGAATAAACAAGAGCTGTTTGAAGAATTCCTGTGTCATCTGATATGTTCACCCACAACTTAACAGTAGCCAAGTGTGGTGCTCTCCGAAAGTTGTGGACTGCAATTCCCATTATCCATGGTCACTGGCCCTGCAGGCTGAGCCTTGTAGTCCATATGGAGAATGCTATGTTGGCTATCTCTGATTTGGGATTTTCACCTTCCAAAGCTATCAATAAAACAATATAATGTTGCAAGCAATTAAAACACTCAAACGACAACAACAAAAACCAGCACGAGATGGCATTAAAATAAGAGCATTAGACTTGTGGACTTCACTGATGGGAAGTTATTTCCTGCCTGAGTAATAATATTACTTACTGCGCTGATGTAAAAAGGTGCATCTAAGACGAAAATACTTCAAAGTTATAATAAGCAGAGAGACTATAATGAAAACACTGGCAGGATGCCTTATCGCACTATGCTGCAGTAGAAAAGAATATTTTAGATTCTTTAAAAAATGTAAATGCCAGTATAATTTTAGGTTGTGGAGTAGTCATTGTAATGCCTTTAGATTGGGTTTTAAATTATATGCACTGAAAGTGTGGAAGGAAGGTGCTATGAAGGCTGAGGCTTTAGAAAAATGCTTTAAATCCTTAAAATCTCTTGCAGAAAAATGTAAGGTGGATGAAATTATAGAAATGTCTTCAGAAATAGAAGTTCAGTCGGTATTAAGAGGATTAAGATTGGGTCGCACAGAATGAATACTCATGTGAAACCAAATGACTTAGCTGCATCTATTTTGGACAAATTGTGCTTATTCCAAGATGCTAAAGGAGGAAGAGAAACATGTTTCAGATCACTGAGAAGCAGATGCTGATAATCCATTGTTTGTTTTGTGATTCTAAAGTATCTTATCTGTGTGTTTCTAAAGACAATTAAAAAAATAAATAACCAAACCTAATCTGTGTAATAGGTAAACAAGTTCTATTACCGTGTTTGCATCAAAAAGAAATTGTCATTAGGCATCACAGTGCTTTAAAACTTCCTATCACAAGGACACCATTTCCCCATCAACTTTCTCCTTCGAGAAACCCCAATCTCACTGTCACTTTGCCTCTCCCCCCTTCAACCTCCTGGTAAGCATAATAAATTATTATTAATTAATTTATTAATATTACTATTTATGAAATTTATATACCGCCCTATACCTGGGGGTCTCAGGGCAGTTCATAGAATAAAATCAAAATATAAAACCACAAAATATCGAATAAAAACAAAAACAACCCAATAGCACCCCCCAACCCACATTTTAAAAGGGCATACGGTGTCAATCAAATCAGCCAGAGGTCTGGTTGATTTGATTGGTGACATCACAAAGCACATGACTGTACCCTGGCATTTTGATTTTGTAAAGACAGAATCCTTGAAGATTTCTACTCCTTTACACCTCAGTTTGTGGAGCTCTCTCCCAATGTCCTAGGACAGGGGTCTGCAACCCGCGGCTCCGGAGCCGCATGTGGCTCTTTTACATCTTTGCCGCGGCTCCGGGGCGGATACTAGCGAGGGGAGGAGGCGCATTGTGCGCCCCGACACTCCTCACTGTGGCGGGCGCTGTATTGGCTGTGACGTCGCATGGGGGCGGTGCATGCATTAGTCACGCACCGTCCCGACGTCACCTTCCCGCCCGCTGTCAGATCGCGGCTCCGGAGATATATTTGTTTTAAATGTTGCAATGGTTTTGCGGCTCCCAGTTGTTGTTTTTTCTTCGGAAACGGGTCCAAGTGGCTCTTTTTGTCTTAAAGGTTGCAGACCCCTGTCCTAGGAGTACTAGCTATGTTAGTACTTTCACAGATTCTATAAAAGAAGCACTGGGTTTTCTGGTACACTTGTTGATGGAAGCAGAGGGGTGTGGATATTTTGGCACAATCAAGCACACTGTGCTCTTTAGTTAGTACTCCCAACTTGACTTAATCCTCTTTCATGCCACTTAATGTTAAGCTTCCCTTTCATAATCGAATCCACGTCACTTGGGAGCTTGGCTACTGAGTATTATTTTTAATGTTTTAATTGCACTTGTCTACTGCTACTTATGAGGAGCAGGCATGCCTTGGTGGATTTGGGCTTGAATCATGTTTCTAGGCAAATCAGTTGTATTTTAGGTTAAATTTGGTATGTGCACGCACGCATTGCAACATGCGCACAGACAACTTGTGGTCATGGAGACCAGAAAGGCTTTGTCAGCATCTGTTGTGATTGTTGCGTTACTCATCAGTGTTGCCGATGAGCTATCGGGGCTAGAGATGAATCATGGATGTTAGCAATACTGTAGTACTTTTATCTATGACAGATAAATTTACCTGTCAACATATTATGATTCTTTTCTGAAAAGTGGTGTGTATTAGCTTAGTTTGCACAGATTAGCTAACTTCAAGCATCCCATTCCAATCCTCCATAGCATGATTTTGAGGCTTAGGAATGTCTCATGGATTTGTACGCTCCATCATCCTACCACCCTCCACCCCTTCCTTCTTTTTCTCTGGGATTGATTCTTCTCTTGATTTGTTTTGCAGTACCCATATTTTGCTATGACTTCTGAATGAAGCAGACTGGGAGCACTGTGCAGGGCCTTGTCTCCAAAGCATGGCTTGCAAAACCCACTTAAATACAATAAATAGCTGGTTAGCACTAAGCATAATTTGCCTGATTTGGGTTCCATGGGCATGGATCATCATGCAATCAGGGAGCTAGAAAAGGGCATTTGTATTCTGAGGATAAACACTTGCACTGTTTAAATGCAGTCATGGAGTTTAGAAAAATATGGAAAATCAATGTCAACAAAGGGCTTACAAACTGGTCTCAGAGCTACTATAAGTTATTATTTGGAACAACCTGTTTTTAAACAAACTATAGATGATCTCTGAGTAGTTGCTGATCTCCCCACTGCCTTGTGATGACTGCACAATTTATTTATTTAAAACATTTATATACCACTTTCTATCAGTTATTTCAAGGTGGCTTACAAAACTCAAAGCAAGGAGAATGATAATCACATGCAAAACTGCTATCGGATAAAAGCAACAACTGAAAGCCAGCATTTTATTTTTATTATTTTATTTGGATTCCATTTATGAATTGCTTCTCATAAAATATCTCAGTCCATATATAAAAAACAATTTAATATGTAAAAACTATTTACTTATTTCCAGTGCAGATACAGGCTGGGATAAAGGTCCCAACTTAAAAGGCTTGTTGAAGGAGGAAAGTCTTCAATAGGCACCGAAAGAGCAATAGAGATGAGACATTGGTATGATGAGTAATGGGGAGGGCGTTGCAAAGATTTGGCTGGCACCACACTCAAGGTTTGACCCCTGTATGGTATGGAATGGGCCTCCAGAATAAGGTGAAATCTGCAATAATGTAGCAGTTGGCTGGGTTTTAAAGGTAGGCTCTCAGCCACCATTTTTCAAACACTGCAAAATTGCCCTGAAACATCTCTGCTTTTCTCAGAACCTTAGCTGTCTGAGTCTGTGATGGTTAAAACTTCAAGCTTTTCGGAAAACAATAAAAATTATTATTAAAAAAAATATTCAAGCTTTTCAGATTGTAATGTAGATGAGAGTGCATTGGTGGCAAAGAAGATTTGTGGTTTTATGCTGCTTTATATTTTAACGTACTGGGATTTTGTTTTTCTATTAAAAAAACCATTTATTAAGAATGTTACATCACGTTATATCATATGGTATTGTACTGCTATATGGTGGTCTACCGCCTTGGGTGGGTCCAGAAAGAGTGATTGTAAATAGTTTAAATAAATGCACTATCAGATAACAAGACCCTGTTCTAGGTCCTTCTCTGTGTGCACCATTAATCCTATGCAGCTCTCTCACAAATAAAGATCTTTATTCGTAGGAGGACTGCAGTTAGAGGGGAAGGGCTGGAGCAACCATGAGCCAGGTTTATGTAATGCTGTTTTTGTGTGAAGAGGCCTTTGTGGTCATCTGCATTCTGTGTTCTGGAATGATCCACCTGTCCTTGTACCTTCTGGGCAGAGGAGGGGGAAGGCTGTTTCAAATATTCTGTTTCCATAGTCACATTAAAATATGTTATCATCCCTTGCAAACTCAAGTGGGATTCAAGGCCAAATTGGATGAGACACCATCTAGGAGAATAAACAAACACACAGCCATTGCTTTTTTCCATTGATACCAGATCTGGATTGGGATGCTTACCTAATGCATTGATTTGCTGATGGATTTGAGCACGTACTGATGCATTTAAGTAAATATGCATTGTGCTGCACACTGTGGGTAAATGCATATTTTGATGTCAGTTGAGAAATTGTAGCATTGCCCCAAATGCTACGAGATTAAGTATGAGTTATTTAGACCTATGGATTACAGTTTTTGAGATTTTTAGAACTGGTGGTTATGCATTTAGAAGACAACTTGAAAAACTGTTTGGCCGCTGGCCTCTCTTCCTCATATAAATGTCAGGCACAGAAAAGTTATTAAACTGCATGTTTGAGAGAGTGGAGAGAAAAATAGACTTCCTAAACTTAAATAGCACACACCCTACTTTTCTATTAAGGGAGAGAACAACATCAAATGCTATCATATTCCTGTCATTTAATTACATGATCATATATTCATATTTTATTGAAACTTTTGTTCAAAAATATTCTGCAAGTTTTTTAACCACAGACATGACTGTTCAAGGTAAAATAAACTGTGGGACTCTCCTGTGTTTGATGTGCTATCTCATGGTGTCTCTGAGAGGATGAAATTTCCTCTATTCAGAAAGCACATTTCCTAGGAAATCATTCGTAAGGGTTTGCATGCTCTTGCTGAGGTTCTCTGCCTACTGAATTTTGTGCCTTCTCAAGACGATTTAAACCATTTAATATATATATATATATATATATATATATATATATATATATAATAAAGTTATTATATTTATATCCCACCTTTTCTCCAAGAAGCCCAAGGTGGTGCACACACTTCTCCCCCCCTCTCCATTTTGTCCTCACAACAACCCTGTGAGGTGGGTTAGGCTGAGAGAAAGTGACTGGCCCAAAGCCAGCAAGCTTCGTAGCTAAGGGCCATGATATTAAGCAGTTCCTTGTTTACTTTCCTGCCATTCTCCCTTTGGAGTAATGTGCACAATTCAATGTGGGTGGTCATCAGGGGTGAGTCTTTGTCATTAATTTTGACTGGCCTCTTGATTCAAACATGATTCAAGAGGTTCTGTCATTTGTGGCCTCTTTTTATCCCCGCTACAGAAGTTAGTTGGTATCCCAGTGCTAGGAAGTTTGTGACACCCACACGGCTTTGTGGGTGGCCGCAGTGGGTGTTTTTCATATAGTCAGTGCTTTTTTGGGGGGGGGGACACAGGGGTACGCATACCCCTAAACATTTTGTGAATCTTTGTCCTTTTGTCCATTTACTGTATTTATTTTTCCCAATTTGAACCATAGAATGGTGATTTTCTTGAGTCAAAATGAGAGTACTCCTAAACATTTTTTTTAAGAAAAAAAAAGCACTGCATACAGTTAAACATTAACATACAGTGGTACCTCAGGTTACGAACTTAATTCGTTCTGGAGGTCCGTTCTAAACCCGAAACCGTTCTTAACCTGAGGCGCGCTTTCGCTCATGGGGCCTCCCGCTGCCGCCAGCACATGATTTCTGTTCTCATCCCGAGGTAAAGTTCTTAACCCGAGGTACTACTTCTGGGTTAGCGGAGTTTGTAACCTGAAGTGTTTGTAACCTGAAGCGTCTGTCACCTGAGGTACCACTGTAATTGCCACCATCACTTACTACAATATTGCCTTTGTTCTTGCTGAAGACTAACACTGCTACCTGTCTGGAAGTTTATTTACACTGATGCAGGGGGCCTGCTTATTTTGTGGGAGCATCAGTGAAAAAATGGGAAGTAGACACTATGGAGATGGATAAAAAAAATTAAAAGGCCTCAGACTTCCATTTTATATGCACAGTCTCTTTAAGTCATTCATTTCCAATGCTTAGTCCAGTTTTGTGAAGTACCGTGGAATTCTATTTATGGAATAACACAGTGACTTCTGTCTACTCATGAACAACACTGACCGCAGATGAGGTTTATCTGTTTGCAGTTGAATTTACAGTCATGCCCCCCAGAGGAAATGTGTCCATCAAGCAATTCATCATTATTCTCATGAGTTTTCTATGTCCTTGACTAGCCATTTGTTCCCTGTCCTGCCCTAATGTATATGGAAAGCTCGACACGGCCTGTAGGCACACCAAACTCTGTGAACTGAGTGAGGCATCTCATGGTTAGCTGAGGAGTTAGCGTTCCCTGAATCCAGTGCTAAATCATTACATTAGCACGAATAATCCTGTCTGCTCATACTTTTTGCCCCCCATTTGAATGACTACATGGCTTCTGTGTTCACTCAAGAAATATTCCTAGTTATTCTCTCACCTTTGGTGCAGAGTGTCAGAAACATCAGCCATCCTTCTGTGCTCTCCAGAAATGCAAAGTAAAGTATGATGATAAAATAGATTTGTCTTTTTGATGCAAAGTATGATGATAATACGGGACGCGGGTGGCGCTGTGGGTAAAAGCCTCAGCGCCTAGGGCTTGCCGATCGAAAGGTCTGCGGTTCGAATCCCCGCGGCGGGGTGCACTCCCGTTGCTCGGTCCCAGCGCCTGCCAACCTAGCAGTTTGAAAGCACCCCCGGGGGCAAGTAGATAAATAGGGACCACTCTGGCAGGAAGGTAAACGGCATTCCGTGTGCGGCTCTGGCTTGCCAGAGCAGCGATGTCACGCTGGCCACATGACCCGGAAAGTGTCTGCGGACAGCGCTGGCCCCCGGCCTCTTGAGTGAGATGGGCGCACAACCCTAGAGTCTGTCAAGACTGGCCCGTACGGGCAGGGGTACCTTTACCTTTACCTTTTTATGATGACAATATTTTTAAAACCCTCACATTGGCTGAAAGCAGGAAGCACTATAATGATTGCTTGAATGTATTGTGTTTTTTTTTAAATATAACCGATGCACAATGCAGCCATGATGTTTCCCTAATACAACACAACATTTCAAATATTTCCTAAAATACCAGCACTAAAAGGGGTTTATTTAATCATTGTCTTCTGTGAAATATATTCAGCAGGGTATATGCAAGGGAAGGGGGCAATCATTTAGTTACCCCATTCCTTTGTCTTTTTAAAAGTTTCATTCGTTTTGTTTTTTGTTCATTATAATTACATTCTGTTCGATACTGATTTACTTTTTTTTTTTTTTGGCTCCCTGGAATGGAAATCCATTCAGTCTTCTGTCTGATTTTTATCCCATTGTCATTACATTTTAAGAGGGCCTGCCACTTCTTCCATGCACCAGACCTGCCAAATTTCAGACAGATCAGGGAAAGGGGTCTGTGTTGTAGAGGCAGTTTATCAAATATATAAATCCACAAGCTTCTGTTTTCATTGGGAGACCTCGTTAGTCCAATGTGCCTGAAACTTTCAGGTGTCCTATTGCCCTTTCAAAGAGCAGACTTGCCAGAGTTCATGAATGGATTATCCTCTGGAACTCATTTCTTTGAATTTCCATTCATTTCTAAAATGAAAATGGATGAAATTAACAGAGTTGAATAGACAAACCGTTTTACACCAATGAAACTGATTCAAACCAATGACTGCTTGTCGCATTGAGAAAGACGCATATTTATCAGTGTTATGTACTGAGTTGAATAGGATCCAAAATGCAGCAGTCTGATTGGTCCTAGAATAATAGGATCCAAAATGCAGCAGTCTGATTGGTTCTAGAACAATAGGATTCAGAATGCAGCAGTCTGATTGGTCCTAGAACAATGCAGCAGTATGATTGGTCTGCAAGAGCCACCCAATCCAGCTCCAGATGGAAGTGAATCCACAACCTGATTGGCCTACAGGAGAATTCCAGAATTAGCCAATCACATGCAGCCCATTGTGTAAATAATGTATATAAAGCAGATACTTTGGGGGGACTTTCATTCCTCCTCACCACTATGAGCTGAATAAAGAGCATGAAATCCACTCTCGACTCTGAGTATATTTCAATCAGCCTACTTTTCATGTGTTTATTTTTCTAATGTCACCAAGTATGCAGGGTATTTTTCAGATTCGCAGGAAGCTTCTGCCCCATAGGAGTTTAAAATCGAAAAGGAAAGGCAACCCAAGAAAGGAGGTAGATTGAGGCGAGAATAAAAATGCATTCAGTTCAGTTGCAGATATTTTGTCTTCATTTTAGCAGGGCAAGAGAATAAACTTAAGCAGTAACTACATCTCTAGGACATATAACCAAGCAGAGGGGGAGTATGCGCCTGATCAATTTTATACATGTTTATTTGTTGTTAAGAAGGAATTTGCTAAACTGGAAAGCTTAACCGGTGACAACATGGTCCATGTTGGTTTCAGAACACACATTTAAAGCATGACTGAGTTGCCAAGTTGTGATTATTTTATTACAGGCTATAATACCTGCCTGTAGAAGTTAATTATATGGATGACAGACAGCTGCATAGCCTTACTACACCCTGCTCATTCACTTGTTCAACACAAAAGGATGCAGCTGTAACCAATAACACTGGTGCTTAATTGCTTAAAAGGTATTTATGTAAGTAATGCTCCATGGAATCACTGTAGTGTGGCTTTGCCTTTTGTGGAAATACTTCTTGCTTCAATTTGACTTCCCTGGTCTCTTCCTATCTCCACCCCTGTTTTTTTCTCTAGACACCCCTTCCCAGCGGGTACAGTTTATTCTCGGAACAGAAGATGATGACGAGGAACACATCCCTCACGACCTCTTCACAGAGCTCGATGAACTTTGCTGGCGTGAAGGAGAAGATGCTGAGTGGAGGGAGACAGCCAGGTGAATCCCCTTTTGGTTTAGCATTTGATGTACAAGGACACAGAGAAGGCCAAAATGCCTATTAATTAGGTTTAAGCCAAACATGTTGAATGTATACTGAGTATTGCTACTTCGGGATGCGGGTGGCGCTGTGGGTTAAACCACAGAGCCTAGGGCTTGCCGTTCAGAAGGTCGGCAGTTCAGATCCCCATGATGGGGTGAGCTCAAGTTGCTCGGTCCCTGCTCCTGCCAACCTAGCAGTTCGAAAGCATGTCAAAGTGCAAGTAGATAAATAGGTACCACTCTGGCGGGAAGGTAAACGGAGTTTCCGTGCGCTGCTCTGGTTCTCCAGAAGTGGCTTAGTCATGCTGGCCACATGACCCGGAAGCTGTACGCCGGCTCCCTCGGCCAATAAAGCGAGATGAGCGCCGCAACCCAGAGTCTGCCACGACTGGACCTAATGGTCAGGGGTCCCTTTACCCTTTACCTTTATTGCTACTTCACATGCCTTTCCTCAGAGCCAGATGTTGACAACATTTTTTTTAGGTCAGATCATGGTTTGTTTGTTTTTTTAGGGGGGGGGGAGAGATAATGTCACAGGCAAAAATAAATAAGATAAATGCAGTTAGCTAGGATCTTTATTTCTTTGCTGAAAATGTTATAGCTATTTCAGAGTCCTCTCCAGAGTAAAGCTGAATGCAGTCAATTTGATTGCAAACTGGGTTTAAATTGAGATTCAGCATAATAGCAAAGTTCAAGATGTAGATATGTTGCCTGTGTGTCTTTTCGCTGAACTTACTTTTCCCCGATTAGATAATGTAACATAGTGAATGGTTACTGTTTACTGTAATGAGGAGGCGTTGCATAATGCTTTATACAGCACTAATCCTGAAATAATAGGCTTTTGGGGGTAAATCCTAAATCTAACACAGTTCTAGTAAAGCAGGCATTGATCTACCGATAACTCTGGCGAATGGGTACTGAGACATTCCTTACCCCAGCTTAATAAAGGCACTCTCACTATGTTGTTCTGCTTACATATTTTTCAGCCTAACCTGCCTCAAAGGGTTGTTGTGCATCCAAATTCTTGCTCTGGGTTCCTTGTAGATGACTGGAGAAACAAATATACAGCAATAAATAAATGTTTCAGGAGAAAGTTATGCAGCTATTAGGGACAAGAAAACCTCAAATAAACTTTATTTCTGTCAGATTTCATGTTAGATTTGCCCTGGACCTCACTCATAGGAGGTAGACAAATATTTAATTAAAGTTCCAAAATAAGATGAACAGCCACATTCTCTGCCAATGAAATGGATGTTTTGTTTTGTTTTGTTTTGTGGAAGACCCGAGACAAATCCAACCAGTGCCACAATTTCAAGTAGTGCTTAACAAGTGTAGCATTGCAGATATGTTTTTGGAAGGCTCATCCAAATGAAAATGGGTCACCATTTCACATGATAGTAAATGGATTTTGCATAGCAGAGTGCCAGGACAATGCAGAACTTACATGTGGGAAGCCTTGGCTCAGCCATGGAGCTTGCAAGCTCCCTTTAGGCAAGTTGCAATCTCCCAGCCTCAGGGCTGGATTTAGGTTTGATGAAGCCCTAAGCTACTGAAGGTACTGGGGCCCTTTATATGTCCAGCTGTCCTTTGTCAACAACAAATTGTCACTGTTTTTTGTGTTGAATGTATGTTATATGGTAATTTATGGACCTAATAGGTATCTAAAGCCATTTGCACATAACAAAATATGTATTTTATCAAAGTAATTGTTTAACTTATCTTACATTTTGGAAATGTACATCCAGCTTTTTTCCCTTTAATTTTTTTAGGGGTCCCCAAGAGATTGGGGCCATAAACTATAGCTTGTTTAGCTTATACGTAAATCCAGCACTGCCCAGCCTACACTACCTCTCAGTTCTTTGCAGAAGTGGCAGGGCATAGATGTCACCAATGTCAGTAAATAAATATTGCCTGATGCAGTCTAACACAGTAGACTTTGACCTTACCTGACCTTTAACCTCAGCCTGCAACATACTTCACCTTTCAGGGTGTTTTTTGTTTGTTAAATACTATGTGTCCCTCTTTTCTCTCTGTTGCAGTTTTCATTTGTGCTGTTTCCTCTACTGGATGGCCTTTAAAGGCACAGGAACCCTGTCATTCCACCCATCTGCTTCCTTTCTAAATGTCTTTGTGTTTGTTCTTTAAAAAAAAGGGGGGGGAATCCTAAGCAAAATGCAGGCCACTTGTGTGACTCAACTTAGGTCAGGGTGTGGGCCCCGACCCGTCAAATGAAGACTAACGATCCAACCAAATGTTCTAGCCAAGTTCTTGCTATTGTAGCTTTTTAGTGGCATGTGTAAGATTTGCCAAGATCTTGGCTGTTCTGTTACTCAGAAGGATGATGGAGAGTGTGGGTGAACTGGTGGGAGTTCAGTTCCTCTGGGAAGTCAACAGATATAATGAAAGTAAACACAGAAGATATTGAGCGTGTTACTCCACAAGTGGATCAAGACTCAGTTGCTTTGCTGAATATAATGATTTAGTTCTCTGCAAAAGTGATACAGCTGAGTGTTAGGAAATTATACATTTTTTAAAAAATACACTACAGTGGTGCCCCGCAAGACGAATGCCTCGCAAGACGAAAAACTCGCTAGACGAAAGAGTTTTCAGTTTTTTGAGTCGTTCCGCAAGACGAATTTCCCTATGGGCTTGCTTCGCAAGACGAAACGTCTTGCGAGTTCTTGCGAGTTTGTTTCCTTTTTCTTAAAGCCGCTAAGCCGTTAATAGCCGCTAAGCCGTTAATAGCCGCTAAGCCGCTAATAGCTGTGCTTCGCAAGACGAAAAAACCGCAAGACGAAGAGACTCGCGGAACGGATTAATTTCGTCTTGCGAGGTACCACTGTACTGGTTAAATTTGCAAAGCTCAGCATATTCTTAATATGTTGGTTCTGGGAAGGATAGTATGCTTATTTTAGTTGGGAAACAAACGTTGATACATACTAACTTGTTTGGGATTACCTTTTGAGCTTCATAGTCAATAAAGAGATTTGAAGCTCGGCCACCCAGTCTGGTATTCATCTAGTGCACGTTATCAGTCATCAAGCACTTCAAATTTACAAGAACATGGAAGACTATATTAAATAGTTGCATTCGTGCAAGGATTGCCGCTAGTATAATAGGAATTTTCCCTTCTCACCCCTATGCCGCCCTCAGATCTTTTCCAAAGGGTTGGGGGATCCCCCAGAACAGATTTAGTGGGTGAGCAAGGGAAGGAAATTGTTCTGTTGTACAAGGAGGAATCCTCTTGGTAATGGAACCTTGGCCTTAGTGCCATGTTGAATACAACACACTGAGAATATGTTGTTTCATAATGATGACATGGTAGAGCGGGGAGAGAGAGCTTGAAGAAGACTTGGGTTCCTACACTCAGTCTTTGCTTCAGGCGTCATATTTCATGGCTACTTGCCCCCTTTCCTAAATTCCTTCTTTTCTCTCTCTTCTATGTCTGCAATTTTTAGGTGCTAAGCCTCCCGACAGATCCCTGTGTGTTTTTCTTAATTACTTTTGAACAGCGCTTAATAACTTCAAGAGCTTTCTAAATAAAATAGGATGAGGAGCTTGGTCTCCAGTGATGATTAACTGCTGGAAGATATCGATCCGTTCTATAAACAAAGATTTAAATTAAAGAAGGAGGTTTTATAAAGCTGCAAAGATTGTTGGGGAATGCTTGACTTTTCATGGATGTCCTCTTTGATCTACTTCCCACATTTCCAACATGTTATTATCAAAGTAACGTTTTTTAAATACTTGACTTGCCCTAATATAGAAACAAGTTGCTCTGTCATAATTAACAGGTGCTTGCCCCACCCCAAATATATCCAACCCTTTGATTTCTCAGTCCTACAAAGCAGGCAGGAAGGTGGTTTGAATTCGGATACCTGACAGCCAAAATGGATACCCAAAGATTCATTCTGAATCCATCCATTTCCCTTTTATTGTGGAGATCTTAAGCAGAGGATCCTTTTCACTAGTTTCATAGAAACACAGGGATAGCATTGAAGTGAGGGAAGCTAACCATTATCTCCAGGGTTCAAGCTGGAGGGGGGGTTGACCTGATCCCAACTTAACTCATCTTAGTGGGAACCGCTTTTCCATTGTCTTGTCCCGTGGACACTCCAGAAATGTCTGTATGTGTGGGGGTGGGGATAGAAGGACCGGGTAGATGACTTGATGGCTACCCAAATGTTTTTTATCCCTTCACAGGGCAAGATGGCATTAATCTATTAATATACATGTTCAGAATTTGGTATTGTATGTGTGTATCCCAAGCAGAATGAAAAATGAAACCACATTAAGAAACTATGCCTAGAAATTATTTAAGCTTTCCCCCACATAAGCGTTTCAAACTTGACATCTTGGTCATTCTCATAACCAACTTCCCATATGGTAGGTATCCAGTATTATTAAACTCATAGATCAGATTGGGCCAAGTGGTGAGATAAAAGGCCAGGTTTGCACATAATGCTGGGTCATGGTTAATATTAACCAAGGTGCGCGGGTGGCGCTGTGGGTTAAACCACAGAGTCTAGGACTTGCCGATCAGAAGGTCGGCAGTTTGAATCCCCGTGACGGGGTGAGCTCCCGTTGCTCGGTCCCTGCTCCTGCCAACCTAGCAGTTCGAAAGCAAGTCAAAGTGCAAATAGATAAATAGGTACTGCTCCGGCAGGAAGGTAAACGGCATTTCCGTGCGCTGCTCTGGTTCGCTAGAAGCAGCTTAGTCATGCTGGCCACATGACCCGGAAGCTGTCTGTGGACAAACGCCAGCTCCCTTGGCCTATAGAGCGAGATGAGCGCCGCAACCCCAGAGTCGGTCACGACTGGACCTAATGGTCAGGGTCCCTTTACCTTTACCTATGGAGCAACAACAGTGTGGCCTGTTTGTGGTTAACAGACAATAGTTAAGTCACGGGGGCTGAGTTTCGGTGATCAAATTTAAGAAACCATGGCGCAGCATTATTCACACACCATGCTGTGGGGCTGTATCCATTCAGAAAAAGCTTTTCGATCAAGCAGAGGTTTTAGAGAAGGAAGGGATCATCACAAAATCCCCGCTTTCGCCTCCCTTGTTTTCGTCTCCACTTTGTATGCTGTTATGGAAGGTCTTCCAACCCTCTTGGAGCAGTTTCAGGGGTTTGTTTGTGTAGGAGGCTGAAGGCGGAAGTAGCAAAAATTGCCTCCAGCTTCCATTGGTGGAAGACTCCTCTTCAATCAAAGAGGCTTCCATGAAACAACAGGATGCAGTTGGATGCAACCCAAAGAGTGGAGCTGTGAAATTGCGCTCTCTCTCTCTCTCTCTAACTCTAACTCTAACTCTAACTCTAACTCTAACTCTAACTCTATCTCTCCATCCATCCATCCATCCATCCATCCATCCATCTATCTATCATCTCACTATTTGTGTTTCTTCTCTCATTCCTTCTGCATAACTGACATTTCATTTCTCAAACAGAAGGGGCTGACTAAGCTCTTTTGCTTGCTTAGGTGGTTGAAATTTGAAGAAGATGTTGAAGATGGAGGAGAGAGGTGGAGTAAACCATACGTTGCCACGTTATCGCTTCACAGCTTGTTTGAACTGAGAAGTTGTATCCTCAATGGCACTGTGTTGCTAGACATGAGAGCAAATTCTTTAGAAGAAATTGCAGGTAAGTGTGCAGTTAACACAACAATATAAAGATTGTATAATACTCTCTACATCCCAAAATAAAACAACACCATCACACTGCCCTGCATAAGATGCAATGTTTCTCTATGGGGTGGTAATATATTTCAAACTCCAAATAAATAAAATTCCAAATTCTAACATGCATTTCCCTTCCCCCTGATGTTTTTCACTTAGCATGGCATTAATGTCGGTCTTTCCAGTATCATCACTGAGACACAGAGATGTACAAATTGTGGAAAGGGAAGGTGAAGGGCTGTAGCTGTTGTTGAAGGGAAGATACCATTTTCTTGAAGAACAGAGTGGAGGTTATAATTCAGAAGAGTAGCTGAATACTACCTCTCATGTATAAGTTTCAGTAGGACCCAAAAGTTAATCATGTTAAATGCAAGTGTGTGTGTTGTAAAGATATTTCTAAAGACTTGGTAGGAATATTTTGGGGGGATAATGGGAGGAAATCAAAATGTTCAAAACAAGTAGCTCATAGATTATGTTCATAGGTGTGAATGTGAGAAAATGGGCGAAGGGGGAAAATAGTGAAGAGTTAGTCTGCAACTCAAATCCCATTAACATTACAGTAAGCCCCAGTAGGATTTCCTTTGGAGTAGACATAGTAAGGATTGCACTATTAGTGCCTTAGGCAAGCCTGCTGCTGCTGCTGCTGCTGCTGCTGATATGATGAAGAAAATGTGACTCGATATGATGATATGATGAAGAAAATGAAGAAAATAGGTGATCAGTGACTTAATCTGATTTGTGGCTGCTTAGTCAGAGGAGGCTAATGATCCGCCAAGTCCCAGCTGAAAACCAACTGAATGAGTTGTCCCTTCATTGCACCGGTGTTCCTGGCATGCTCTCAGTCCCAGAAAATCCCCATCACCAGTCCTGCTACAAAGCCCCCGCCCCCGCCCCCGGCTGCATGCCTGTTTAGAACTGTTAGAATGCCTCTTGCTTGCTTGGACAGAGATATAAATAGGGGTGTGTGTAGGAACCTCTGGCTTTTGTGTGTGTGGCTCCAATACAGCCTGCTGTGCAAAGGTAAACATCACATCTGTGACTTTGCCCACTGTCCCCTCTGTTCCCGCTCACTAGTGGTTTGTCAGGAGCTCAGCCTACACTCGAGTAGGACCCTGTTAGAGACACATGCTCGACTGGCATGTTCTCTCCCTCCTGGTCAATCGTTCGGGAGCTTCAAAAGCTTTCTTCAGCCGAAACATCACAGCGACCGATGCCAACCGACACCGGCACTCTTAGGGATCTGCAGAGTCTTCGCAACTTGCGTGACAGACCTCAGCAACTCAGCATTTTGGCTAATCTACTTTATTTACATATAAACACACACGGAGCACTGCAACATGGCTCCCTCTCTCTCTAGCATCAGACAGCAAAGAGAAAAAGAACAAAGGACAATAGCCCCACTTCACGGAACACAGTAACACAAACATCCTGTCTCTGTCAAAACATATACTGTCGTGTGAAAGACAACAATCCCATGACTGCAATCATGGAGCAGGAATTCTAACATGGTTATGTGGCCCCTGGAAGGTTACTCATGAGTGAATGTGGCCCTGGAACTCAAAAGGGCAGGTGCCAAGGAAGGAGCGGGAGTCAATGAAAAGCTTCTGCTCCTCCCCTGCTGCACTCCTCACTCCCCGGAAATTGATTTGGGGGGTGGTGGTCAGGAGAACACCAAAAACTAGGGGTGGGTGGGCTGGTTTCTCTGGTGGAACGATCCCCTTGGCGTAACAATGAATTCCTCCCAAACATTTCGCTGCTCTTTTCTGTACAGGCTGTGCTTTGACATTGTGGATTCTGTTCTTTTGTCTCTCGCTCACTGCGATTTGATATTTTAGCAATTCAGCTCAATAATTAGTGTTTGACAGGGTGAGATTGAAGGGGATGCAGAGACATTGGTTCCTTGCTAGTTCCAAAGATGCTGCTGGCATAGGTGTTTCTCCTGATCATTTGTAGCCATGCTGTAATTGCTTAAGCATTCAGGAAGCTGCTGCATGCAGCTCAGGATTCAGTGTACTGATTGCTAGCGCTGAGTTCAGAGATCTTCCAGCAGCAGGAGTGAGTCAGACTATATCAGGGTCCTGGCCTCTCTAGATGGCTGCTGGGCAACTGTCACTCAGTATCAGTCAAACAACAATGCTGCTGTTTCCCTTAACTTGGCTAAACCTTCTACATTCCAGAAACATCATTTTAAAGGTGTGTAGACCACAATAAAAGTGTATTAACGCACATATTCCTATATATAATATATAACATGCATTTGATTTTTGCAGCCCTAGGCTGCAATCTTATACATACTTACCTGGAATTAAATCCAACAGAGCTCAGTGGATCTTGCTTTTGAGTACATAAGGGAGGGTTATTTGAGCTCATATTTCAATCCTGCTTTTATTTTTTTTTTAAAAAAATTCCTTGCTGCTCTGTTTTCTTCATTCATTTTCCTGACACTTTGATAAATGTTCTTGGTTCCTTTGCATTTTAAATGTCTGTTGTCTGAACAGTAGTATGCAAATTTCCAAAATACAACTGAAAATTAAGCAGTCATTTGTGTCAGGAACATACGCTCATCATAGTGCTTCATAAATAGCTGAGGTTACATTCTGCATTGTGTGTTGGTTTTTGGTAGGTCATTTCTGCCTGACATTTCTAATGTTCAGAGTATCCTTTGTGATTATTTGTGCCATTGAGCAGTCATTCAAGTTCCAAACATCTTTTTTTTATTATTATTAAAGATGTTTGTTCTCACTCAGTTTACACTGATGCTAAGCCGCAACCCTAAACCCACTTATCTGGGAGTAAGGCCCATAGATCTCAGTGGGACTTAATTCTGAGTAGACATGTGGAGAATTGTGCTATCAAGTTGTAATTCTGTGCACACTAACTTGGGAGCAAGCCCTGCTGAATTCATCAGATTTACTTCTGTGTAAACCTATATAGGATTATCCTGATAAAAATATCGAGATTATTTTGCAAAGGTCGTATGTTGTACTTTCCTGTTTTTCTCCCATAGCTTCTTAATTTCTCTGTCCTCTTTTACATGTGATAAAGGCACTCCTTTAAACCTTGGATCAGCAACTATTTTTTTTACTTCTGAGAAAAAAATATTCTAGAACTCCCTGCCTATTAATATAAAGGAAGCAGCTTTGCTATATTGTTTGCGATGCTTGCTAAAAACTTTTTTGTTTATGCAAGCCTGCTCATGTAACTGTGTTGTGTATGTTTGCTTTTACAAGTGTTGGTCTTATCTATATTTTGGTATTTTGATTATGTGTGCTTTGTAAGGTGTGTTTTTATCACTGATCTTTAAGTTAATATTTTATACTCTTACATAAACTGTTTGGAGGGTTTCCCCTTTAATTAGGCAATATATGACCCACACTAAATACAATACAATACAATACAATACAATAACTTTATTAAAGAGCTTGTTCAAAGATGGTGTGAAGGATGACGGACCCCATTTCTGCTTCCTAAAGTTGGTTGCTCTTGATTCCCATAACTACAGCCAACACTCTTTTCATATCACACTTGTTGTTCCTACGTATTGTTGTGGTACTTCTCAGGTACCCAGTTTCCTACTTCAAGGTCCCAAATTGCCTTCTTTACACAATGAGAAGTCAGCCGTAGTCCGCAGCACTTGACCAGCACACCAGATGTGCCTTCTTGACCTTAAACAGCTATTTCACATTATTATCCTCCCGATTATTTCAGTTCAAATTGGCAGATGGAAATGTTCCCTTTGATATTTTCATCTACTTCCTTTGGATGCATTCTAAAATTGTCATTTGGTTTGAATGCAGCTAGTGAAATGGCTCTTGGATTTTACAATATGCCATTTTTCTAGCTGGAATCAAAAGTGTGGTTTTTTTATTCCACTGTAGCTTACAGGGGTAGACTGGTAAAGTTATGGGCTTTGTATATTCTTTTTGTGTTCTTTTGGGCAAATGTCCAGTCGTATTGCACACATTCAGCCTTATAAGTCATTCCAGTGGATGAAGCGGGATTTCACTTTCTTGCCCATTGCCACAGCCTCCCAATCTGCTCTGCAGAGCCCCTAACCTTCTAGAGCAGAGGTTTTCAGACTTTTTGAGTTCAAGGCTCCCTTGACCAACTACAGTGGTACCTCAGGTTAAGTACTTAATTCGTTCCCGAGGTCCGTTCTTAACCTGAAACTGTTCTTAACCTGAAGCACCACTTTAGCTAATGGGGCCTCCTGCTGCTGCCGCGCCACCGGAGCACGATTTCTGTTCTCATCCTGAATGAAAGTTCTTAACCTGAAGCACTATTTCTGTGTTAGCAGAGTCTGTAACCTGAAGCGTATGTAACCTGAAGCGTATGTAACCCAAGGTACCACTGTATATTCTTTCTGCAGCTCCCCTGTGGGGAAACGTGCTCCGAGCCTCAGAAGCCCAGTTATATCACCCCCTTGCCTGCAAAGCCGGCAGCCCCTCACACCTTTTCAAACACCTTTCCTTGTGGAGTGTTCCCTCAGCCTCCCTTCCTCTCCTCTCCCCTGGCTCAGCCCCAGAGGCACCGTTTGCCTGGGGAGCTTGTAGCCAAGGCTGCTGCAACACACAGCCTCACAAGCTTTTGGAAGGCATTGATGCGAGAGGGCATCAGAGGAGGGAGGGAGGGAAGGAGAGAGAGACAGAGGCTAGTGTTGCCAGTGGCAGCCCTGACCATCATTCAAGGCACCCCAGGGTGCCACAGCACACTGGTTGAAAGCCAATGCTCTAGAGCAATTTTAGGGAAAGCAGGCTGCAGGGGAAGGGTACGAAAGGCAAGTCCCATTTCCACAAGCAGAAGTCAGTTGCACAAATGGGATATCACAATTAGGTGTCACCCTATATTTACTTTAGCCGAGCCACTTAGATCTTGATTTTCCTTTCTAAAAACATGAGGACCAAGGCAGAATCAACACATATGAAAAAAAAGGCTGTAAAAATGCTTTTTAAACAATTGTGGAATTTGCCGTTAGCTCACCAGTGCCATCTAGTGTCACATTTGTGTAATGCACTTAAAGCGTTATACAATAGTAGTACAGGGGTCAGCAAACTTTTTCAGCAGGGGGCCAGTCTACTGTCCCTCAGACCTTGTGGGGGGGCTGGACTGTATTTGGGGGGGGAATGAATGAATTCCTATGCCCCACAAATAACCCAAAGATGCCTTTTAAATAAAAGGACGCATTGTACTCATGTAAAACACACTGATTCCCGGACCGTCCGCGGGCTGGATTTAGAAGGCGATTGCGCCGGATCCGGCCCCTGTGCTTTAGTTTGCCTACCCATGCAGTAGTAACTCCAGTTACGTAACCCTCTAGTTACGTAAACTTTGGGATGTCAAAGTGGCAAACCCGGAAGTATTTTACCAGGTGATGCCATGTGCAGAAGCGGTCCTCCGGTTGCAAAAACCTCAGGATCTGGCCAGACCTCCAGAATGGATCTCATCTGCAACCGGAGGTACCACTATATTTGGAGCTGTATAGCTGAGTCCCAAGCCACTGGTCCATCTATTTCAGCCATCCTGTTATCACAGGAGCCACTCATTCATTCACCCTTCTGGGAATGAATCAATGCTCACATTCATTGATAAGGGACTTCCCATCTCCCTTTTTCCTCTACAACCCACTGTGCTACTCTTAAATTTGGTCATTTGGCAATGGTGCTGGATAGGCTACAGGGGCTGCAGAGGGAGGGGGGAGATTGCGGAAACTAGGATTTCCATTACATTATGTTTGGAGATGACTTCATGACCATTTTGAGATCACACGGCTTAGGACACCACAAGCTATTTCTTATCAAATAAAATATTTCTTAATAATAATAATAACCTGTTAATAAAAACCCCCTCACCCTTAAGCATTGCACATAAAACAGTAAGAAAACAGTAATAACATTCTATAAAGTAGCACGGATCACATATTTTTAAAAGTCTTGCATTTTCAGTTTGTAAGAGTCCTGTTTTCTATTTTTCATACTAATGGTCTAGACAAAATAATGAATGTGCTTCCTTAAATAAATAAATAAAGGACTTTTCATGACAGTCTGATATAAATTTTGTGCGTGTTTGTGTTTGCATAATACGACTGGTAGAATAATATTTCCAGTGAGGGCTTTCTTTTCCCCGTCCCCCGTCCCCTGGTCCCCCAAATCCTTTGACCCTTCCTCCCATGCTCTTTTCCACTCATTAACCCATTTTTCATTTTTTGCTAAACAGCTCCCAGGCTGCTGTGCTGGGAACGCCCTGAAATCCAAACCTTTATACAGCTTCTTAGGTTAATTCTGCGTCTCTTAGCAACCTTTTCTTAATATTGGCATGGATACATTCCACTTGTTGTTTGGCCATAAGAAATGTCTACACTTTGTTACCTTGCTGAGCATTACTTGAGTCCCACCACATTTTGCTTTTACTAGCAAAGTGTATTATTTTTTTACCAAGAAGTATGCTGTATGTTCCATCTACACCTTGCTGTTGATGCTGATGATGTCCCCTGCCCCTTAAAAGCTGCATCCACAGCAACAAAAGTTCAGCCCTGTGTCCATGCATTGTTATTTGTTTATTTCATAAAATTTATACACTACTTGATTGTCAACAGCAGTAACAACAACCCAAAGCAGTTTCTACAAATAAAACAGTAAAATCAAGAGAGAGAAAAATACAACCCTGCTTTAAAACGTACAGAAGTTAAAATGCTAAAACAGATGAAAAATTACCTCAACTTTTGAAGCATCTGGGTAGGCTTTGTCTATTCAGGAGTGTTTTTAGCAGGCACCGAAAAGAGTACAGTGGCAGGGAGTTCCAAAGTGCAGGTGCTGCCACACTAAACAGTTTATTTCCTATAAATGTGGAATGGGTGGCATCTGCAATAGTGCCCAATTCGATTGTGCATTGAGTGTGGGTATCTGCATTGGGAAAGCCAGTGCCTCTGTAGGAGTTGGAACCCTGTGCAAGACTTTCCGTCTGCAGAAATCCACACCTTAATCTTGAAGATGATCAAAAGTTTGACTAATCCTGCCTGTTTTTGATACTTTAATCATGTATCTGTGTGCTCTTCTTGGTTCATGACGAGAGCTTACTGGGAGATGTGGGGTTGCAGAGAGAAAGGAAAGCTCACGAGCAAAAGAGTTCATGACTCAACATTCATTGTGTCAGAAGTTTTGAGTGGCACGGCTTCTCCTAATGAATATGTTAAAACACTTGCTGCTCAGTTAGCTTGCTTTAGTGAGAAACTTGCTTTTGACTTTTAAGCCTTAATTGCCAGTGGAAAGGCTGCTTTCCTCCTCCCAGATCTCTAAAAGCTCAACAGGACAGCATCTTAATACTGTCTCTGAGTAGCCTCCATCCTCGGTCTCTCCTCCCTGCTGCCCCACCTCGATTCTAGTATGTTAACTTAATAAAGTTACGGAACTTCCTCTGTACACGTTATGCCTTTTACTTATTCATTACTTACAAATATTAACAACCTTTACGCCATCGCTGCGGGTGCCTGGGAGGGTTAGGGAACGCAAAATAAAAACAACCGGCCCAATAATAAAACACAATGCATGCAATGCAGCTAAAACAGAGCAGATTAAACAAGTAATCAGCTCACACAGCTTAAAAAGCTTGGGCAAATAAATCAAGTCTGAAAGTGGTGCTTAAATGATAGCAGCATCAGCACCAATCATACCTTGGAAAGGGGGGTGGGGAGCACTTGGGAGAAGGTTCTATCCTGTATCACTCACCGCAGAGCAAGCTTCTCCCAATGCAGAGAAGATGCTCCTCTGAGGTTCTGAGGGCATGGGCAGGCTGATGAAGGGAAGAGGTTCCTTCAAGTATTTGGGTTCCAAGCCGATTATCTATCTATCCCTGAATTTTACATGCGCACTAAGTCTGAGATTGATGATACACAGCCAGCAGGGTGCTCACAGCCCCCTAATGTGTTTCGTTGAGCTCAGATGAGCTCTTGTTAGTAATCTGAGAATTCCTGTTTTAAAAGCTTCTGGTTTTAAAAAGAGAGAGAACAGATTTTAAACACTGCAGTGGGTACGCGTCTGACCATGGTGTTGACGTACGATTGAGAAATACCCGCCGTGGTCTTGAGTTCTTAGTCCTCATCCCTTCAAAACCCAACAGACCATTTCCCTAAGTGGCACTGAAATTGCCACCGTGTTTCTCTTGCAATATTTATATGGTCACTGATATTGTGGACCAGCAAAGTTCACCCCTGGCCAATGTACATTCGGATTTCAAAGAAAACTCTGTTGAGCAAGAGATGTTGAAAGCTGCTTCTTTTGTAGTTCATCTGAATATTTGATGGAGATTAGAGGAACAAGGACTCAGTTGCAAAGCAGAGGAGGTGGGCATGGTTTAAAATGAGGAGATGAGAGGGGGGGGACTTTATCCTGTCCCATACCAATTTCCCCCTTGAACCTCCTTCCTGCCCTTGGCTATGATGGAAGAAAAATGCATCCAGAATCCCAGCAGCTGGGGAGGAAGTGGTGAGTGATGTGGTGTGCCCTATTTCCTCTCATCACTTCTCTGCTTCAGATCATTCCCTTAATCCCACTGCTTTGCAGCTGTTTGGAGAGCAAAATTCTAAGACCCATGCTGTACACTGGATACGTAGTTCCACCATCAGAAAAGCCACTTTGTGGCGTTTCATCAGTGAACAAAATGTTGACAGCAAGTGAGTGTTGCATAACTATGAAGACCAGCTTCCTGGAAGCCAGCTGCTCTCATCCAAGCATGAGCAGTTTCCAGAGACGTGCGAAGACTTTTTATTTGGACTGGGTTTTTCGTCTCCTGTTAAAATTATGTATGCAGAACTTTATGACATCACGTTCCAAGTCTTGGGAATAGCCAATGTTGGTGGGAAGGGGTGAAAGGAGAAGAGTTGGAGAATAAATGCACACATCTGTGCATTGCAGGGTTATCTATGAGAAAGCCGAAGGCATGTTCATATTTGGTTACCTGTTAATCAACATATACAACAAACTTTGCTGGGTTCGTTAAGAATGACAGATTTGGGAGTTAGTCTATTTCACCCAGAAAACATTGTGCTATTATGGGGCAACATGCAATGGCCCAAATATTTTGTTGGATTTCTGAACCGGGAATTCCTCAGTGATCTTTGCTAGTTCTCCTTTTGTTGTTGTTGTTGCTATTTGACTCCTTGTGATCCTAGCTCCTGGTGTCATTAGATCATTTGCCTTTTATATTTTCAGACATGATTCTTGATCAACAAGTAGGCTCGGGACAGCTCAGCGAAGATGTTCGCCACAGGGTGCACGAAGCTCTGCTTAAACAGCACCACCATCAGAATCAGAAGAAGCTAAGCAATAGGATCCCAATAGTCAGGTCCTTTGCTGATATTGGCAAGAAACAGTCTGAACCTCATTCCATGGACAAAAATGGTAAAGTGTCATGTTATTTCAGTAATAATTACTGGCAGCTCTTGCAAGATATTTGTCAAGTGAAACACATGTATTGCACACCTTCAAACCTGAAAGCGATTGGCACCCCAGCCTTAAACTACTGCCTCTTCCCGTGTCACTGGCACAACTTCACTGCAACACCTGTATAACCTATCACATTAGAGAGCATTCTTCTCTTTAGTTTTTTCCTTGCTGATCATAGTGAGAGCAGGCTGTGGTCCATTCACTTTGGAAAGCTAACACTACGAGATCTGGGAATAGGACTTTCTTGGCAGTGTCCCAGGAATTACAGAAGAGTTTCCTGATAGAGTTTGCCAACCTGGTAAGCAGACTGAAAGGCCAACAGGGCAGCGTGTGCAGGCCTTCTGTTTATGCCAGGTGTTCAGGGATGTGCTCCAGTTTAATTAGTTTCTCCATTTCCAGTTGAATTAGATTCTGTTTTTACAATAGGTTCCCCCCCCCCCCGTTGTTTTGGTATATATACTGTAGCCACAAATACTTGATAGCTTGCAAATGGATCATACAGTACCTTTATTGATTTCAATTGTAAGCCATTTCATGTTTTGTAATATGCAGCGGAGAAGGTATTTGCAGTAGGAAGTCAAATAAAGGTTTTGTGGTGTTATGCAGGCGTGGCTGCAGTTACGCCATTTCCCAAGCGATAAAGAGTTGGCACATCAAGTCTCTGAGATCAGAAAGGGTGGCAATTTCAGACTAGGGAAAACCTAATTATATTGTCTTCAAGAGACTCTTCAATTAAGAGATTTTGTAAGTAAGTAGGCCTGTCCTTGTGCCATAAGACAAAGCCCTCGGTCAAGCTGAAATCAGTCAACTCCAGGTAAGCTGTTTGAGGAGTGCAGCTGAAATGCCTGAAGGTATAGTCTGCAGACTACTTAAAGCTGATATAGTTATACCTAAGATTCTTTTTGACAGTGGCAATGGTGTGTGAGTAAGATCAAAACAGGTACTGTATATTCATATTCTGTGTTCCATAAGGATACATCAAGCCTTCATAAAGTATGTGATTAGGCTTTAATGCAATTGCAAATTATAGCACAAGTCAAGAGATGATTCCATTGATGTTTCAAATTCCTACTCGTTAAGGGTAATTATTTCCAATGATACAACAATATTTTTTTTAAAAAAAGATTCTCTGAAAAATTAAGCACATGTAGGAAGTGTTGCAAGTAATGGGCAGGGCAGACTTGCTAGGGCACTATATGAATGAATTTAGACAGCAAAAGCCTGGATCTGAGAGGGCATTTTTGAAGCTTCCAGCAATGTAAAGCACAGATTCTAAGATTGCATTCAGAAATAGAAGCAGGTTTGACCCTTCTTTAAAGTGAAAGTACTCTGGGCTTCAGTTGATGCTATTTCCAAAATGCTGAAGCTTGCCATTGTGCCATGCTTACATATTATCAACTGCTGATTGCTTAAAAACTTACTTATACCTTTGTCTGAAATATACTATTTTGGACTGCTGGTATGGGGCTTATATGATTCAGTGCTCTTCCATATAAAAAATTTCCTGCACACGGAAAACTAGATATAAAGGAGAAATGTTCTAGTCTAGATTTTTTTCTTGACGTGCTTGATTTTTTTATTATTATTATTTTGGGGGAATCTTGTGAGCCACTCCCTGCAATATGAAGTGCTGCAAGTTTGATACAGTTTGACAGCCTCAGTGAGAATTAGTTAGATTTATTCCATTTTAGGAAGCATTAAAAAAAACTAGTGTAGTTTTGTTTTCAAAGAAGCCTAAAAGCCTTGCTAATGTTTGAGACCATGAGGCATCCTCAAATAAATGGCCACGGCCAATATATATAATAAGCAGTACATAACTTAGGTTTAGGAGGTAATGTTTCATGATCTCAAGTCTTGCTCGTTTTGAGGATCTAAATTTCTTATATTGGTCATCTTTTGTTTATTTTATTTATTTGTAATGTTTTAGCCATTGAGTCTTTCTTTCTTTGGGATTCATATTTTCATTTTTTATCAATCACCACAAATAGACTTGCAGTCCAGTCTCCACAAAGTGCTGAGCTAGAACATATACCAGTGAAAGAAATGGGATTTGTGCTAGGACACTGAAGAGTTTGGATTTGATATCCCGCCTTTCACTCCCTTTAAGGAGTCTCAAAGCGGCTAACATTCTCCTTTCCCTTCCTCCCCCACAACAAACACTCTGTGAGGTTAATGGGGCTGAGAGACTTCAAAGAAGTGTGACTGGCCCAGGGTCACCCAGCAGCTGCATGTGGAGGAGCGGAGACGCGAACCCGGTTCCCCAGATTACGAGACTACCGCTCTTAACCACTACACCACACTGGCTCTCGACTTTAAATGGGCCGAAAGCTTATGAGAATTCATTCCCAGAAACTGTGTTCAATAGTTGATGAATAGCTGAAGTAATAATGTGCCATTGAGCATGTGCAGAGTGGTAACGAGTAACCATAGTCCACCCATCTAGGGTTTTCAGGACATCTTGTGTGGCTCCAGCTCCAGCAGATCTCTTCTTAGAACTCAACAGTCACATGTTATCTATCTAGAATCTCTGTTTAAGATTGCTGTCCTGCATTCTTTCAATGTTTAAGGCCATTTCATGTTTGCAACATCTGATCAAGTCTGGCATCTCTCCTCTCAGTGTAGTGAGTCTTTAGCTGCCTATTTCCTACCCCCTTGTACATTCATCCTTTTCTATTTTACTGCTTTTGTTCTTTTTTTAAAAAAATACTTGTAGTTCAGTATCTTGAAATAAAGGTCACGTATCTCTTGATCACCTTCACCTCATAGTGAACCCTTTCTTCTCCCTATGTTCTTGTTTGTGCCCATGAATAACTAACTGTATGTTATCTAAACTCTGCTGTTGTGTCAGTCATCTTCACATTTCTTTATTTTGGTCTGTCTTTGTTGTATCTGTCTTCTAACAGGCTCATCTCATCTCTCTACCTCCCTCATCTTCTAATCTTTGGGTTCTCTAAGCTCCTTGAAGGTTCAGAGGTAGTGTACTACAAAACTATCTTGCATGAGCTTTAGGCCAATTCAAATGTTCATTCATGTTTTCACATCCGTTTCTTCCAGCATGATGTTTTTCATTGTTAATCTAGTCAATCACTTGATCTTCAGGGTTTCTGCCAGAATGCTATTAATAGCTATTCCAGCTTAGTTCGACTCTTTTTTTATATACACAAACGAGAGAGACATACAGAGTCTTAACACATTTCTGTTCAGATGGTAGAAATCACTGTTGTGTTGGTATGATTTATTTTTATGTTCTTTATATTTTTTTAAAAAAACACATTTAGGTTAAATAAAAATGCAGGGTGGTTCGTACAATAAATCTTGTATCTTAACACTGTATAAACTTGCATCAGTTTTATATCAATTGAACTATCATGGTTTCTTCCAAAGGTTCCTGGGCATTATAGTTTGGTTACAGCTTACTCCAGGCTTTGGCAACCTGGTGCCCTCTGCATGTTTTGGGGTGCAGTTCCCACCTGTTTGCAACACTGCAGTTATGCTGGCTTTTAGTTCATTTTATACGGGAGGCCAGGGACGCGGGTGGCGCTGTGGGTTAAACCTCAGCGCCTAGGACTTGCCGATTGCATGGTCGGCGGTTTGAATCCCCGCGGCAGGGTGCGCTCCCGTTGCTCAGTCCCAGCGCCTGCCAACCTAGCAGTTCGAAAGCACCCATGGGTGCAAGTAGATAAATAGGGACAACTTACTAGCGGGAAGGTAAACGGCGTTTCCGTGTGCGGCTCTGGCTCGCCAGAGTAGCTTTGTCACGCTGGCCATGTGACCCGGAAGTGTCTGTGGACAGCGCTGGCTCCCGGCCTCTAGAGTGAGATGAGCGCATAACCCTAGAGTCTGTCAAGACTGGCCTGTACGGGCAGGGGTACCTTTACCTTTTACCTTTTATATGGGAGGCCACCAAGTTGTTGAAGACAGCCCTGCACATACCCCCACAGAACTACAGTTCCCAGAGTCCTTCGGTGGAGAAAGCATGACTATTAAACAGTTTAAGGCTGCAATCCCAAACACACTTATTAGGGAGTAAACTCCATCAATCACAGTGGAGCCTTCTTTTCCAATGAAACATGCATAGCATTGGTCTGCAGGATCTGTAAATAATTTCAGAGGGCTCAAAGTATGCCCTCTGACAGTGGCCAGCTAGATGCCCTGATAACAATGCACAGCTAGATTATCTCAGTTGGTCCACATTGTTTTGAAAACATTTGGGATAGTGGGGAAAATATGTATTGCTCCTGCTCCTACAAGCAATTTGGGTTGTGAACATGGCATGAGAAAAAGGCATTCGGCTTTTGACTCCATGTTTCACATGCCTAGAATATGAAGCGTACGTGATACTCTTAAACACCTCTTTCATTTTTATTTGTTAATAATACAGATAATTGTTAGTATTCTGTAATAACAATTTTTTCCAGCAGGTCAGCTTGTTTCCCCACAGTCTGCACCAGCCAGCATTGAAACAAAAAATGACGTGAGCAGAGAAAACAGCAGCGTTGATTTCAGCAAGGTAAGACTTTTACCGTCTTGAATCTTTGGATGGTAAGGATGTAGTTTAGGTGTGTTCAATAAAGCATGTCTCATCTCAGTGTTATGAGTTGTTGCCAGTCATTGTTTCATACCACACACATTTTACTTAGAATAAAAGGGGGGATGTTTAATAATTTAAAGTAAACTATTTTTTCCCCTTGAAAATGTTGGGTCATTTCATTGCATACCACTGTGAAGACATCATGAAACTTTAGAAGAGACTGTTTAGTGTCTGAGTTTGAAGATTTTTTGAGGGCCCGTGAGAAATCAGCAACAAGGGAATGCTCTCAGGCCAGTCGCATCTCTGACAATGGAATAGGGGGAAAGAGCAATGCTTGTCTCTTGCTCCAAGAGAGAGACTCAGAACATCTTTCTGCAGCATCGTCCAGATGCATGCATTCGCCCTTCCCATGAATACCTGCAACCCCAGAAGTAAGCCCTACATTTCCAAGAGCTAAAGATCCAACTAGTCTTGTGGCAGTGGAATCCTGGGGGCTCTTTGGTCAAGGTTCTTGCACTAGACTTCCACTTTCTTCTCATTGGCTGCCCTGTTGTTACTGAGTGGCCTGTAGCTCTGGTAGAACATGTAGCTTTCCACATAGAAGGTCTCAGGTTCAACCTTGGGCATCTCCATGGAGGGCTGGGGAAGACCTCTGTCTCAAATCCTGCACAGCCATTGCAAGTCAGCATAGACAATAACAATCTAGGTGGCCTAATGGTATAAGGCAGATTCCTATGTTCCTTACCTTCAAAAGTGGCTTCTGCCACTTCTTTCTTGGGATGAAGCCCAAGAAACTTAGTGTGTCTAGGACTAGCTAGCCTATGAAAGAAAGTGGAATCCATCACAATGGGATTCTTTGTTTAGAAACTCCAGTCTGCAGGTCTAAAAAGGTCCACCAGGTCTTGCCATTTGGTTCACCCACCTGCCCCACACTCTGTTGCCAAATGTGGGGCAGGTAAAAGACACCACTGGGTGAAAAGGAGTGTGCAGGTGCCATCAGTCAGCAGCCCCTGCAGATCTCAGCATTTTACCTCACAGCTGATCTTTGGGGCTTGCATAGGGCTACACATGGACTTCTGTGCACACCATCATGTAAAAGTGGGTCACCTGACATCACTGTGACATTGGGTGATTGGCAAGGGATTGTCCACCAAGTGGTGGGAGAGGTAAGGATCTGGCCCACCAGCTGGATCCAGTTCCTGGTTTAGAGAGCCGCATTTCCTGGCTGCCCCCAGGACTCCATGATTCATTATTTCAATGCTGAAATTTATATGAACATTTGTACTGCCCTACAATCATAGCCAGGGACATGGGTGGCGCTGTGGGTTAAACCACACAGCCTAGGACTTGGTGATCAGAAGGTCGGCGGTTCAAATCTCCGTGACAGGGTGAGCTCCCATTGCTCAGTCCCTGCTCCTGCCCACCTAGCAGTTCAAAAGCACATCAAAGTGCAAGTAGATAAATAGGTACCGCTCCAGCGGGAAGGTAAACGGCGTTTCCATGTGCTTCTCTGGTTCACCAGAAGCAGCTTAGTCGTGCTGGCCACATGACCCGGAAGCTGTACCCTCGGCCAATAAAGCGAGATGAGCGCCGCAACCCCAGAGTTGGTCACGACTGGACCTAATGGTCAGGGGTCCCTTTACCTTTACAATCATAGCCAAGCCCCCCCCCCCCGAGTTTTTAGTCTTGGCATTTTCAGAGGCAAGAGTGGCTGTTGAAGCCAGTCCCATGTTGTTAAATTGTGTGTGATGGCGAGGAATCCTCTGTAGTTTTAGTCCTAATCTGTTACTACTTATGCTGGGGCAATCACTTTGCCTTTGGTACACAGCTCTGGAGTAAAATGGATTCTGGATTACATTTGGTTTTTTTCCGGTAGATCTGTGCATCAGGCTACAATCTTGATTTCTTAGCCTGCTTGCCTACAAGCCAGGTGATTGCAAAATCACAGCCAGGTTTTAGACCGCAAGCTAAATCTTAGCTCCTGCGCCATGCCGTGATATTTCGTTGCTTACTGCAATGAATGCATCACAGCATTGGCTGTTGAAAGAGCACCAGGGGGAAAAAGTGGAGACCTAGTGCTTGCCTGATTGAGAACCCTTGCCATGTCTTTTTGGAGTGGACAGTTTTCACTACAAAGGTGCCCTGAAAGCACATTTGCATGAGATATAGGTTTGACAGCTACAGCCACACTGGTTGGCCTCAGTTGACCATAGCTTGGGGTGAACGCAGACTGGTAGCAGGATATATTTTTCCCAACCATGATTCTCTTCTAAGGGAATTGATGCGAGCAGTGCTTTGAATCCGTTGTTGAATGTGACATCCAGTCAGTGTAACCGAGCCAGAAACTAGTTATGTGCTTGCTCCATCTGGTGCCAGACAGAATATGAGAAGCAGCTTTTTGTACCAGCTGAAGTCTGTTAATTGTGCGTGCAGGGACTAGGAGACCAACAAAAAGGGCATAACAGTAGTCTATTTGGGATGAAACAAAGACATGAAAAAGGACACCTGCATCAGGAAGAGAGAGAGAGAGAGGTGAGGACCTACTCTGGCTATCTTTCTACGGTGATTGCGAGCAGAGTCTATTTCTAAATGTCTGTACCGGGTTCAAAACCATGCTATGTCAGTGCAGTTGGCAAAAGCACAGATTTTGTACACAACATTCACATTTTTTAAAAAAGCAAATACCCCACAACCTTCAACTACTCTGAAGGCTGAGGATAAGCTCCCACATATATAGAACATTCAAAGGCGGTTGTGGGGCAGGGAGCAAAACAAACAAATAAATCCGGACAAACATATAAAAAATTCTGCAAGATTCCCAAAGAGAACCTCACTAAGTATTACCTTCCATTTCAAGCCTATACATGCCTGCTCAGAAGTAAGTACATTGAGTACAGTGGGGCTTACTCACAGGTAAGGTTTGAGGTATGAGAGACCCTAATTAAAAGCAGATTTTAAAAAAAGGAAAGTCATAGACGCTCTGGAAGATATTTAGAGATATTTAGGCTCTGGGAAGCCTCCATCAAACATACTGGCCACTGGACAGACATACAAAAAGGATATTGCTTTCCTTTCTCCTCAAGAGTATTGACAAAACTCAGACTTTCAGCATGCAGGCATACCATAACTATGCATGTGGGGACTTACAAAACGTGGGACATTGAGAGTGGCAAACAGCCCTTTGTTTAAATTTCAAGTTTCATGAACATTCATTTCCCGAGCCAATATTGTGCAGTGAGAAGAATGTTGGGTCCAGGCTCAAATCTCCATTCGGCCATGGAGGTTATGGGGTTAGTCACACTCTGACCCGCTTCAAATGTCACGCTAAGACGAGCCGTGGGTTAGCTCAAACATGTGAGCATTTATACTCCTAGAAAGGAGATTGTTCCTGTGCTCCATCCCCCTGCTGCTGCGCTGCCACGAGCTAAGCCATTGTTTGCCTTAGTGTGTCCATACCAGGGATCATGGTTTGACTCGCCCTTATGCAAACCATGGGCTGCAACCAAGCTTTGTTCTTGGGTTCATCTGAAGGTGACCGACACAGATGATGCGCTAAGCCAAATCATGACTTACCTCACTGCAGCAGCAGGGTTGTAGGAGAAGCAAAGTGACCGCCATCACCTTTCTGGGAGATTGTATTTGCAGCAAGCATCAGACAAGACATGGATAGTACTTGCTGCCTTGTGTCTTTCATTTAGCAGAGGATCTTAGCTGTCAAAGGTTGTCTAAGGTTTACCTGCTAGAAGCTCTTCCTCACTGCACCATCTTATTTCCCCAATTGCACTTCCACAAGCCTCCTATATATGTCACTTGAAGCCGTACTATAATATTAATGTCAGAGACATTTTTTGTAGAAAGCAAACAATAAATGCAGTAGTAATAGCAGCAGCAGCAGCAGCAGCAATAATAATAATAATAATAATAATAATAATAATAATAATAATAATACACTTGCTGGTCATAAAGCCTAATGGCCACTGTTGATTCATTATGCTTTATGGAAGCACCCTCCCCTCTGTAAATGAAATGTCACAAATACTTCATAACTTACCATAAGCCTCCATTGATGTTTGAGGAAACATTAATGTGGTAATCAGGGGTGGGTTCTCAAGGGATTGCTTCATTTGCTGGCCAACTATTTTTGCAATTGCCGGAGGTGCTGCAGATTCAATTCTTGTGTGTGTGCGTGCGCCATATTCTCCTTTATGGAAATTTGTCAGCAGACATGGCAAAGGACATGAAAAATTGGCAGGAAAAATGTCCTTCCGGTCTGCATGCACCCACATTCTCTTTCCGCACTGTCCTTCCTGCTTTCCCCTGTGGTGCACACCTCGGGCAGTAGCAGCTGACTACCTCCCCAGAAGCAGCTATGCACAAAAGCACAAAATAAAGAATGCATTTGTCTGCTTCTACATGCTTCCTTAAGGCCCTGTGTTTTTTGGACTGGTGAAATTTCGATCAGTGGAAATTGGGGAGCATGTGCACATGCTGTGTGTGTCTGTGAAGAAATGCATCGTATATACATGCACATAGTCAGGGGTGCCAGCTTGAATAAAATATTGGGGTGGTGGTGTCCCCAGGTAAGCCCCTCTCCACATAATCAATTACATGACACAGCACAAACACGTCATTTGAATGGCAACGCCCATCAACTTTTGAGGGGGCCTCAAATATTTTATGGGGAGGGCAAAGGGCCCTCGCTCCCTAGGAGTTGGTTCCTATGAACACAATTCCTCCACAGAAAAGCACTCCCACTGTATACGAGTCCTCAATTAGAGCCTTTCAATCAAAAGTCACTTGAAATCCCTTCCAAGCGTGTACATATGCTATCCTCCATCTGTGGCAAACCCCTATCTGAAAAGTAGTCACAATTTTAAGTGATCCTTGATAATTCCTTGGTACTGGATCGATATATAAACTTAAAATTATTTCCCCATAAGAGATATATATATAAGATGGCAAAAAACAACACAACAGTGAAAAGGGGCTTTGTTTGGCCTTATTTTTGGGGGTGGGGGAGATGTTCAAGTTTTGAGAGAGATTTCATGACACAGACAACTCCATTACGCTTAAATTCTGTCTATGTGCCAGAGCCATTTGCAAGAAAGCAACTTTGTAAACAGTATTGAAGACACTGCACACTGGCGCTGACAGATGGCAGTGAGATAGACATTAAAATGGTCACTTTAACAGTTTATATTGGATTTGGTCACTGTTTTTGTGTTTAGATTGGTAATGGGAAAGCAAATGGGGAAAAGTATTGCAATTTGAAATTCTCAAAATATGAAGCTGTGATATCAATTTGAACATGTTGTTGTGTGAATCACTGTATTTTCCTCTTCATAACATTTAGAAAGGTAGTATAGGGAGAATGCAAATAGAATATGCTTACAAATGCCAGACAGTTGCCACTGTAAAATCAATGAAAGAAACGAAGAGGGGGAAAAATATTTAAAGCCTTTACATAATTTGACCAGTTTTGCTAACTAGGAACTAATCCTTCTAGCAACCAGGAATTTTAATGGCAATAGAGAATCGATGCACAGTTTGCCTACACTTTTAGCTTTTATTAAACCAATTTATTCTGGTTGAAAAGTCAAATTTGATTTCAATTCTGTTGTAATCAGAGTGAGAAGGAAAGGTAGGTATTCTAGAATACTGTATAGGCAAATGCAAAATTGTAATTTGCGAATCTTATCGTTAACACTTTGGCCAGAAATGGTGGAACTTACTGGAAGAATAAGAAATCAAGAGAATAAACTTTTTATAAAAGAATGGAAATGGTTTATTGAATATTTACAGATAAATTTTAAACAGATAAAAACACTGGCAGGATTATTGTAATAGCCTGCAGCTGCATAAGAATATATATATATATATATATATATATATATATATATATATATATATGAGATAAATAAATAAGTTAAGTAAATCTGGATATGCAGAAGATATTAAAAATAAATTTAAGGAACCACAGAAAGAGGGGAAAGGAAGTCAAATTTTAAAATGTCAAAATGATTGTAAAATCAGTGAAATGTATGTATCTGAAAAGTATAAATAAAATTTAAAAAACCAAACAAAACCCCCACTTTGCCCAGAAAGTATTGATATTTTTAATTACTAGTTAACAGGGCTATACCATGGCCAGAACATATGCCATATGCCATTAAGGCATAACTATGCAGGTGGCGCTGTGGTCTAAACCACAGAGCCTAGGGCTTGCTGATCAGAAGGTTGGCGGTTCGAATCCCCGGGTGAGCTCCCATTGCTTGGTCCCTGCTCCTGCCAACCTAGCAGTTCAAAAGCACATCAAAGTGCAAGTAGATAAATAGGTACCGCTCCGGCGGGAAGGAAGGTAAACGGCATTTCCGTGCGCTGCTCTGGTTTGCTGGCCACATCACCCAGAAGCTGTATGATGGCCGGCTCCTTCGGCCAGTAAAGCGAGATGAGCGCCGCAACCCCAGAGTCATCTGCGACTGGACCTAACGGTCAGGGGTCCCTTTACCTAACTGCCAACTATTATGCATAACTACCTATATTTTGCTGTTGGTATGGCTACACGGAGGAGGAATTTAGGACATAATAGAGCCATTGCTGTAATATGGTACCTATCATCCTTACATTTGTATTTGCCAGAGTATCAGCACAGAAGTTCCTATCAATGGGGGTTCTTTCCTTCACTCACCTTTTTTCTCAGTAGAAAGATTAGATACCATTTTGGGCCTTTGGAGTGTCAGGGATTTGAATGCTGATAATAGTGAATTGCTGTGCAGTACGGCTGCTCTCCTCCCCACTCCCTCCCTATTTCCTTAAAAAAAATGCTAATGCACCACTGTCAATCCCTGCATAGTTACAGAACCACTTCCCTAGTTACTGTTAAGGGATCAAGAGGTGTTCCTAAGCTCTTCCATTTCTCAGTCTGATTACCCTTCAGAAAGCGCTAATTAGGGAGCTCTGTTTACAGTTTACCTTCTTAGGTTGCATAGGTGGAAAATCCTCCTTCAGACTTGATTCTAAGCATGTTTTGTGGTGAGAGATAACCAAAGACTGCCAGTTGGCAGCTTCCCAACATTGCAAAGACTTGTGGCCAATATAATCCACTATGCTGGTGGCGCTCATTAAGAAATCTGAAGGCTGACAGACAAGGGAAATTATAGATGACACTCAAACATTCAGGGAAGGGAAATGCCACTGGCTGATTTCCATTGCCCATTGATTATTTCTATTAAATTTATACTGGCTAGTTTGTGGAAGATGTTAGGAGGAAGAAGATCCAGGAACATTAGCCATGCCTCTTCCCTCCCTGCATATTTACTCACATTCCCCTGCAACTTCCTCTGCCTTTGGGTGGGGAAACCTTCAGAAAAACCATTCAAGCCAAAGACAACAGTTTTCTTTTAGTGAGTGTAATCTGGGCAAAAACTCCCACCAATATACCTGGGGTGGAGAACCTGTGGCGTTCCAGATGTAGCTGTACCTTAGTTCCCATCAGCCCTAGCTAGTGCACAGGGAGTTTTTAAAAACATGTACACCCCTCTTTGCCTAAAGGCCTCAGAATGGTTTGCAACATAGAACAAGATTGTAGCCACACAACATGAATGAATGAATGGATCTTTATTTGCGTCAGCCATCGGCCATAGCAATAAAACAACAATACGATATACAAAGAACAGAAATAAAAAGTCAATTATATAAAATGCATTTTAGGGTTTTTGAATTAATAGTCAGATAGTGGATTCTGATTGCCCCAGCTAAAAACCTTGCAACCTTTGCTGTCACCTGCTCATCTTGAGCTGCCAAGAGAAAGGACACTGTGGCAGTGGTTGGGCGACCCGGAATGGATAATAAAAGAGGGGTGATAATCTCATTCCTCAAGTCTTTATAAAGAGTGCAAGCCAGAAGGGCATGTGCCACCGATTCGGTACTGCCATCTTCACAGGGACATAAAACAACACTAAAGATTAAAAACAAATATTTGCTTACAACTCATAAGAAGTAACTGCAGCATCAAATGATTCAGTTCCCCTCATCCAGAAACCTGCATCTACACCAGTTTCCTAAGAAAACAATGATGTGGCTAGGCACATCTCTGTGGGGAGGACATTCCGTGGACATGGCGCCACCACTAAAAAGGCCCTGGCATGGGCCCCTGTGCTACTTGTGAGCTTCTAGTGTTGTTGGATTGCAGGTTCCCCACTCCTGAAATATGCCCCTGGAAAACCAAGGCTTGTCCCATTTTGCAGGATGTTTACAGTTCATTTAACAGTTGATAGTGCATTGCATTGTAGCTTTGGCATGTATTGCATCAGCTCAAATCCCAAGCCCATTTACTTGTAAATTATTCTCATAAATTTCCGTGGGACTTGCAGCCAATGACCACAATCCAGCATAGAATTAAACATATTGAATCAATAATCTTAACATGCCTAACTCTGTGCTGAACTATGCCCAGGACTTCCCTGATAACATTGCTCTTTGTGCCATAGGACAGGATACATTAAGACACATTGCATATGTTCAATACAAAAGGACTACTAACCAACTTCCTGTTGCATCATTAGGCAAATGCTAAGACACGAGATTGATATGGTAAAACAACCAGCTGATTAACCAAGTATTCAGTTCGTTAACATTAAATGTAGTTAGGTGATTGTTGGGGCTTCGGAATAATGACAGCAGGTTTCTTGACGAGGTAACTTAATATTTAAAAGTCAAGTCCAGCATTTGCTGTGCTTTAGCAACAAGAAATAATCACCAACTTTGTAAAGAAGGGGTGGAGGTCTTGCGTCCCTCCAGATGTTGAACTACAACTTGCAGCATCCCTTGCCATGGCATGCCATGCCATGCTGGATGGTGCCAATGGAAGTTGAAGTTCAACAATATCTGGAGGGTTGCCCCTGGATTAAGCAAAAATTCTGCTTGGAATACAAAAAGGCGTCTGTTTCATAAGGCTAAAGACTTCCTTGATTAACTGATAATGCTCTTTGAATCTGCAACGTTTTCACTGATTGATCACGGCAGTTAACATATTTGAGACTGCTAATAAATAAATACTAATCAACAATTGCTAAGTCGTTCTGTGCTTGGTGATCAACGATGTCATAAACTTACTGTGTCAGTGAAGTGAAAGAAAACAAGTTTTTGCATTTATCTGTGGTCTCTTGTTACTTCCCACAAGTTTCCGCTCCCCTCTGTGTGATGTCTTCCTTTTTCTACACATGATCAGGTTGACCTGCATTTCATGAAAAAGATCCCTCCTGGAGCCGAAGCGTCAAACATTCTGGTTGGAGAGCTGGAATTCCTGGACCGTGCTGTAGTGGCTTTTGTTAGGTTGTCTCCCGCCATGCTGCTTTCGGGACTAGCAGAAGTTCCAATCCCAACGAGGTGATTTTATAACCAGAGCCGAGAAAGAAAGGCACATTTCCCAGTTAACAAGCAAAGGACCAGGACCTAGATAGGCATTGCAAATGCTGCACGGAAGCCTCTTTAAATCATTTTATATGTCACACATTTCCATATGTGCACAGTAACAAAGTGCCAAACTGTGTGGTTATGGCTGTTGCTTGCCTGGATGAAGAGAGGGGCGTGACAGAGGACAGCCGTCTAGAAACCTAACTTAAACATGGCTGAAATATAGCCTGAAGCAGAAAGTTAGGAGCCCCATTTGTTGTTTCCTTCCCTTCTTTTTTGCCTCCAACGCGGGTGGCACTGTGGGTTAAACCACAGAGCCCAGGACTTGCCGATCAGAAGGTTGGCGGTTCGAATCCCCGCGATGGGGTGAGCTCCCGTTGCTCAGTCCCTGCTCCTGCCCACCTAGCAGTTCAAAAGCGCATCAAAGTGCAAGTAGATAAATAGGCGGGAAGGTAAACGCCGTTTCCGTGCGCTGCTCTGGTTCTCCAGAAGCGGCTTAGTCATGCTGGCCACATGACCCGGAAGCTGTACGCCGGCTCCCTCGGCCAATAAAGCGAGATGAGCACCACAACCCCCGAGTCGGTCACGACTGGACCTGATGGTCAGGGGTCCCTTTACCTTTACCATCCACCAGTGACATGTGATGTCTGGAAGACTGCCCATGAGGGAATGCATTCCTTTGCCTGGAAAATATCCCCTAACCCCTGTGCTGGAAATACACGAGCCTAAGGCCTTCTCCCAAACTTGCTGCCCATAGGAGCTGCCTTTGACTTCAGGACAGGCTTAATTGTCTCGCTAAAAACACACTTGGGTCAAGCTTTGGTTTTGTGCATCCGTTTTAAAAAGAAATCCTTCCACTTCAGGTCACTATTTTTTAAAAATGCCACAATCCATTCAGTCTAGCCAGAAACACTGTAGGGGTTGTTTCTTTTTGCTTACTTTTAGTTTAAACGTGTTAGGGCTACATAACTGGATGTCCTTTGAATATTTTTGCTTTCCATTTGTTTGTAGATTTTTATTTATTCTTCTGGGACCTCTAGGAAAAGGCCAACAGTTCCATGAGATTGGCAGGTCAATTGGAACCTTAATGACAGATGAGGTATTTATCTATTAACCGCAGTTAAAGCTTACTTAGAAACAACCTGTTTAAACCTAAAAGTAAACCTGTGTTGAGATGTTTTTTGTCTCCCAAGTATACCTAAAACACTTTGCTTGAATTGTAGGTAGCAGCTTTCACATTCTGCTTAAATCAAACTTCAACAATAAGCAAAGAGTTCACTATGCTAAAGTGTATTTTTTGTACATAGAAGACTTTCAGGGAAGGAAGTTGCATGCTTTATGTAAGCAGCTGTGTGAATGTGTGGGATTTTATATGCCCTCCTCATGTATTTTCTTGTGTCTCTGACAGGTGTTTCATGATGTTGCCTACAAAGCTAAAGATCGTAATGATTTGGTTGCTGGGATTGATGAGTTTCTCGACCAGGTGACAGTTCTCCCTCCTGGAGAATGGGACCCCACGATTCGTATAGAGCCCCCCAAAAATGTTCCCTCTCAGGTTTGTGTACATTTCATGTTGTTGTTGTTGTTGCTGTTTTAATGTGAAGGGACTGTTATGTATTGAGTTGAATAGGATCCAAAATGCAACAGTCTGATTGGTCCACAGGAGCCACCCAATGCAGCTCCAGGTGGAAGTGAATCCACAACCACAACCAGGAAATCCCAGAATTAGCCAATCACGTGCAGCCCATTGTGTAAATAATGTATATAAAGCAGATATTTTGGGGGAACATTCATTCCTCCTCACCACTATGAGCCGAATAAAGAGCATGAAATCCATTCTCAACTCCGAGTATATTTCAGGGACTAAAGCAATAAAACCATTCCATTTTTGAAACAAGAACGGAAAACAGTATATCTCCATTGTCGCTTCTGCACACACCGCCACTATCTTAACATTTTTGAAATATTCCTCAAGATATTCAAAGGAAACCCTATCCTGTGCAAACAGGTGATTAGAATTTTGGATTATATAGCTGATATAAAATCAGCGGAGCACATTGTTAGCTCAGGGGCCACATTCTGTCATGGATAGACTTCTGTGGGCCATGCACCAATGTAGGGTAGTGCCTATTGGCAAAAAAAAAAATGAGTGGAACAATGGCTGTGACTTAACTCTATGCGGTAGGATACATTCCACCCATGCACAACTCACAGGCTTCTCTCTCGCCCCCCCCCCCCGCACTCTCTTTCTCTATCCCTCCTTTTCAGTTATCCCAGTTCAAGGACACATTTGAAGCAGTAAAGAACACTTGAGGTGGGCACAGAATAGGCCTGGTGAAAGGTAGTATCTGGGGAGAGTCCTGAGGGCTGATAAGAGAGACCTTGGAGCTCCATTCAGCGTTCGGACTAGAGGTTACCCACCTGTGTTTTACTAACCATTTCTGCTTTTACAGAACAGGGCATCCATTATATTTATTTTTACTGGTGTTACCCTTTTTACCATACAGAGGCAAATGTTTTGAATCCACGCCCACCCCAGCACACATAGCACATATGCTTCCACCCCTTGTTTACAGAGCCCCGTCTTGTGGGGCGCGAACGAAACATTGAGCATAATGATATCACCTCAGGCATCTTCTTTAACCAAATGCTTCGGGGACAGACTTGGGAGAAAATTTGGGGTGGTGACAGCTATTGCATCTATGGTGGTAACATGTCATTGGGCCCTTAATAGGCGAGTAGTTAAGGAATATTCTCTATCATGATCAAGCTGTTCCCATACTTGGGCCTCATTGTGCTTTACCAACTCCCCAAACTGTGGTTCTCTCCTGAGCAGAGTAGGTGATATGGTTTCAGAACTCATGGGAGGGAAGATTGCCATCTAGAATCCTCCTGCCAGTATTTCTAGGGAGCAGGCGCCAACACTAACTGGTGATTTCCATGTGGCAGGGCTCATGCTGAAGCCAGGAGGAATGTTCTTAATTGATTAGCAGGTTCAAGTTGAGTCTGTCAGATTGCTGCCGGCAGTTAGCACCTCTCTGTGATTTCCATCACTTGTGGAGGGAATAATTCAAAGGGAATACCAGGAGTGTCACAGTGTGCTAGTTGACCTTAAGTAGTTTCCTTTCCCAATCCATGATTTGAAAAATGTAAAAACATACATACACACATAAACACAAATCACCTCTCTTTCTCTCATGTAGGAGAAGCGTAAGATTCCAGGTGTGCCAAATGGAACTGCTCCTCATGGAGACATTGCACCAGTTGGAGGTCACTCAGGACCAGAACTGCAACGTACTGGAAGGTTAGTAATAATTCAATTTTTTAAAAAAACTACAACAACAAACCAAATATTGTAATATATTTGTGGGGTTTTTTGTTTTTTAATAAGACATGGTTGGCTTAATTGTTTTTTAAAAAACGTTTTGAAGTTTATTTTAAAGTTTTATAGTGTTTATGCCGTATTTTCTTAACTAATAAGTGGGTTATAAATATTTTAAATATTTTTTTTATTTAAAAAATCCAAGGTCACTTTGCTTCCTAGCAGTTGAGCTTCTCCTGCTTGATCAGAACATCTGTGAAGAAAATTCACCAAGCCTCTTACCCCAAAGTGGTAAGACTACACCTTGAGGCCTTTAATAAAAGGCTGTATTTTTACACAATTAAAAGAATCCCTGTAGAACTACTTAAAGTGCAGTCAGTTTCCCACCTCAGTCAAACACTTTGCATGTATTTTTACTTATTTATTTCATTTATACCCCACCTTTTTCTTCAGGGAGCAATACATAGTTCTCCATACAACAACCCAGGGAGGTAGGTTAGATTGAGAGTGAGTGACTGGCATCAGGTCACTCAGTGACCTTCAAGACGAGTGGCGATTTGAACCCTGGTCTCCTGCATGCTAGTCAAACGCTCTAACCACTATACCATACTGGCTCTCCTGTATAATGTTTCAGGGCATTAAGATACTTTAGAGAGGCATCGTATGCTTCGTATTTGACTTTTAAAGGTGAATGCAAAGAACACATTTTCACATTAGATTTGATAACAGTGATGAGTGTTTTTCAGTTCAAAAATTCATGAGGAAGTTTGGGTTTAAAGACTTACTCTGCTTTTTCTTCTTCTTCTCTCTCCCCCCCCCCCAATTCTGTAGGATTTTTGGGGGCTTGGTTTTAGATGTCAAGAGGAAAGCGCCATTCTTTCTGAGCGACTTCACTGACGCGTTCAGCCTGCAGTGCTTAGCTTCGTTTCTCTTTCTCTACTGTGCTTGCATGTCTCCTGTTATCACGTTTGGTGGTTTACTGGGAGAAGCAACGGATGGCCGCATAGTATGTGTCATATTTTGATCTGAATCTTCCCTATTTATTTACGATTGGCACTTTCAAAGCATCCCATGACTGAATTTTGTGTGTGTGCGTGTGCTTGGAACGTTCTATCTGATAAAAACGGCAACTATTGCAATCCATCGCCTCGATGATGAAATAATAGGTCTAACTTTTCCATTTCTCCCTTCCCGCCCACCTGCAGAGTGCAATAGAATCTTTGTTTGGTGCATCGATGACCGGCATAGCCTATTCGCTCTTTGGTGGACAGCCTCTGACCATACTAGGGAGTACGGGCCCAGTTTTGGTGTTTGAAAAGATACTGTTCAAATTTTGCAAGTAAGTGATCCATTTTTCTTCTTTTGAGAGTCTCCCTGTTTCCGTACTCTGTTGTGTTTGCCTTGTGAGGGGGTACTGAAGCTGAAGGACAACTCTAACTCTTAAAGAGTTAGGATGATGATGATGATTATTTATTAAATTTTTATACAAAAATGTCTCTGCAATCAGTTCCAGGTCAACTGAACTTTAAGGCAAGTTCGAGTAGTTTTTAAAGAGGGATAGTGAGCAGCAGAGCAGGTGTCAGTAGAAACTTGCATTTCCTAAACAGCAGAACCTCTCACAAGGCTTTTCTCTGCCTTAATAATGAAATATGCTTTAACTTATCACGTTGATAAATGATCATAAACAGCCATTGTCTTTGCTGTGCTTTCCAGCAAAGGCATTTTGGGGATTAATGTGTTTTCCCCGAGACAGCAACAAACTTAATAGGTCTGGGTCTGTGCATTTGCAATCCTGTCTCCATGTGCTTCCAGGGAATATGGGCTGTCGTACCTGTCTCTGAGAGCAAGCATTGGCTTGTGGACTGCAACTCTGTGTATCATCCTTGTTGCGACCGATGCCAGTTCGCTTGTGTGCTACATCACTCGGTTTACGGAAGAAGCTTTTGCGTCCCTTATCTGCATCATTTTCATTTACGAGGCCTTAGAGAAGCTCTTTCATCTCAGCGAGACATATCCAATCAACATGCATAACAGTTTGGAACAACTGACACATTACTCGTAAGTATGATTTCATCCGTTGTCCTGAAGGGATTTCCTTTGTTGCGGGGTGCTGTTCCCGTTGTGAGGAAGCCAAGGGGCTTCCCAATAGAAAGAGGACATTCATGTTTACATAATTTTACTAGGGCTTGCATCCTTCTGTGAAATTCTGACAGGAAGAACCCCACATTTTCCAAAAGAAAGCTTCATTTCAACAGCATGAGCACCATGGCAATGGCTCACACATGTTGGGTTTGAATAAATAATCTGAGCAGTTAGAATATTTGTTACTCCCTGCCTCTAGGCAGTAATAGGGTGGGATTCAGTTAATGAGCCCTATCAGCAGAAGCCATATGCTTCTTCTTGCACAATGGGGCTTCCCCCCTCCATTATACCCCACCCCAAAATGTGCCTGGAAGGGTTGGGAGAACCTCTGGAATGGCATGGAAGGTGGAGGAGGAGGGTGGTATTGTTCCATCTGGGAAGCCAGAACACTTGGCCCTGACAGAATGATTGACTTAAACTCAACATGGAATTTCTCCCATAATATTTTTTTAAAATTAATCCCGGCAAGCCAAAATTCCAATCCCATTTTTCAACACTGTTATCTAGAGGTGAGGCCCACATTGGCCATTGGTGATAGAGTGTAAGCTAGCCTTCATCAATTTGCTGCCCTCCAGGGTTTTTTTTTGAACTAGAAGTCCCATCAGTCCAAGCTCACTTTCTCTGGGACCTAGGAAGGTCATTTTGAATGCTGAGTTTGTCTTTGGTGGCATTGGCTACTCCTCCGAGTTTGGTGTCATCTGCAAATTTGATGAGCATTCCCTCAATTCTTTCACCCAAGTCATTTATAAAGATGTTGAACAACAACTGGCCCAGGACAGAACCTTGTGGCACCCCCTGAATTCCCTTTTCTTCAGAATGACAAGGAACATTTAGTGAGCACTGTTTATGTTTGGTCAGTCAGCCAGGTTACAGATTCACCTACACTTACCTGACCCAGCTCACATTTTAGCAGCTTCTTCACAAGCATAACATGAGGAACTTGATCAAAAGCCTTTAATTGCCACTGAAATCATTGGAAGTCTCAAACAATTTGTCCATTGATTTCCATGTAACCTAAGTTCAACTAACTTAGTCTGGATCCAGTCCATAGCCAGGGTGGCCAGATTCAAAAGGTGGCGAGGAGTCCTGCATCTCTTAATACTTGCGTCGAAAAGCAAACACAAGCCATGCCTGCTGAAATTAAAAGTGCAGGACCCTTGCTCACTTTTGCATTGGACCACCCTGACCATAGTGCTAAAATGCTAAACCATAGCGCTAAATCTGTTTGCCCTGAGCTGCGTTGTATGATGCCATTTTAGCTTCAGTGTGTAAAACTGCTAAGATAGATTGCTTTGAGTTCCCAAATCCTTTCTTGTCTCCCATTCCTGAGCAGTAGCAAGGTACGACAGTGAGATCTATAACAGGAGATACATGGGAGCAGTTTTACATGCCAAAGATATCCAGGGATAATTGCGGCTGTCATATGAGGCAACTTTTATTATATTTAAAAAAAATTGCCGCCTGAGAAGTGAAACTGACAAAAAACATGACTGCTCAGAGGGGTTGTGTTTTACCGTTCAGTTCACGAGGCTGCTGCTGGATGAAGCGAGCTGAGCTATCAAAAATAAGTTTTTGTGCATTATGTTATGTGAAAAACCTAAGTATTCTCATGGGCAATGTCAAGATTCAGTCTGCCTGAGGCACATGATGCATCTCCTCAGCAATAGAGACAGCAGCCAGAGAAGCATTTTCAGGCTAGAAAGCCCCTCCAGATATGGTTTTTAATATGGCTGTGTTGAACTCACATGAACTCTTGGCTTAGGGAGAGTCAAATACGGAAATAGCAACAGAAAGACAAGGCCACTACCCTGTCCTGCCGCCACCCGCTCCCTGAATGAATAACAAGCCCAACAAACTGCCTGCATAAGAAGTTCTGAACAACTACCTGCAAATTATTGAAGACAAAGCATAGACTGAGAAGTTGCAGTGTCTTAACATCTACATGTAGATTAGGGTACATGTCTTCCAAATGTTGCGGACTAAAACTCCCATCATCCCTGACTGTTGGCCATTCTGGCTGGGGCTGATGGAAGTTTTAGTCTGAAATACCTAGTGAGCGGCCTCTTAAATAGATTATTAGATGAGAGATCACAATGACTTGAGAGCTAACTTTATTGTTGATGCTATATTAGTCTTAGCATTTGTTTGCTTGAATGTGACTGTCTCTTTATACAAGACTGTTAAACATCCAGAGTTATAATGATGGGGGGGTGACAAACACAAAGCCCTATATACACACTTCTACTTCTTAAATTGATTTTGGCTAAACACACTAGGGTCTCAGTACCACTGAACACAGTGAGATGTACTTCGAAGTCAACGTGTGTAGGATTGCACAATTAACCTCACAGTTTCCCAGATATTATAATTAAGTTTCTTTGTAGCTATTCTTATTTATCATGCCTTCTTTTCCTTTGGGTTCATTAGCTTTTCAGCCAGGCATAGAGTTTATATAAACACCCAAATGAGAAATTCAGTCAATTCTCTCCATTATCAGGGCCCTAAGACTTGTCTACTGCGCTCTCTCTTTCTCTTTTTCTTTCTCATACTGGTACTCACGCCATTCCATTCCATGACACTGATTGTCCTATGAAGCCCTAACATTTTTAATAATCTCTGTTGATCGTTCCCTTATACTTTTGCTTCAAGACTTTGTGTTGCTGCTTTGTTCATCAGTCTTTTAGAATATTTGGCAATGGGAGGCCCTTTTAGAAGCTAATTCTACATTAGGGATCACTGTATTACTATATATGATATTCCTTCTGAGTTTTGTATGTAAGCATGACCCCTGTTCTTCAATGTCACCCTGATAAAAAATAAAATTGCCCTTTCTCCTCATTGACTTACATGAAACAGACAATCTGCAACAGTGATCTGAAGAGCCCCCTTCACGTTGTCATAACCCCTCCAGATATTCCTTTAGGTCAGAGCTCTCCTAAAGCAGGACTGTCACATTAGCTAATTAATGTCAGAACTTCATCGCGCCCCCCTAGGGGGCAAATGCCTTTCAGATACTTTCCCCATATGTTGTAACACCACCTGACAACTTGCAGTTATAATTGCCTTAGATTATGTAACTTCTTCCTGTGTTGGGCTTGTGCACAAAATGGAGCAAATCTCTCTGGTCCCTGCTCCCCTTTTGGAAGCTATTTAGTAGGGCACAAGTACCCCAGAGGCTCTAGGCAAGGAGCTACCAGTGCCTTTGCACAATCTCACGATGATTTGGAAATCTGGGAAAGTGTGAAGTAAGGTAATGCCCTCCTCATGGTGTGACTGGATCACGATGATTTGGAAATCTGGGAAAGTGTGAAGTAAGGTAATGCCCTCCTCATGGTGTGACTGGATCCTGCCAGCTATCCGTAGGGGAAGTTTTGGAGCAGTAGCTGGCCATCTGATTCCATCCTAGTGTGCCCTTTATGGCCTTTATGTGCTCTGTATCTACTCAAAGTGGACCACACAGAAGAGCTTGATCATTACATTGTTGTTGTTGTTTAGTTGTGTCCGACTCTTTGTGACCCCATAGACCAGAGCACGCCAGGCACTCCTGTCTTCCACTGCCTCCCGCAGTTTGGTGAAACTCATGCTGGTAGCTTCGAGAACACTGTCCAACCATCTCGTCCTCTGTCGTCCCCTTCTTGTGCCCTCCATCTTTCCCAACATCAGGGTCTTTTCCAGGGAGTCTTCTCTTCTCATGAGGTGGCCAAAGTACTGGAGCCTCAGCTTCAGGATCTGTCCTTCCAGTGAACACTCAGGGCTGATTTCCTTAAGAATGGATAGGTTTGATCTTCTTGCAGTCCATGGGACTCTCAAGAGTCTCCTCCAGCACCATAATTCAAAAGCATCACTTCTTCGGCGATCAGCCTTCTTTATGGTCCAGCTCTCACTTCCATACATTACTAGATCATTACATTACCTGAAGATAAATTGTGGTTAATATGCAAAGCCAATTAATGTCCTCTTTGGAAACTTTGCCCCAAAAGTTGAATAGAATTTGAAATGGTGGCTTTCTGGGCTTCTGATTAGGGGAGGAAACATGCGAATGGATTGCAAGATTCTTTTCTGTTCTGTTCCCCAAGATCTCTTGTTCTGCGTTAGGAAAAAATGAATTTGTACTTTTTGTCCCTTCAGTTATCCAAGGACGTGTGGGGAATAAGAACAAACATATGCCCACAATAATGCTTATTTCTGCTTAGTGTGCCTGGTTGTCATTGGAATCATAAAAAAAAGGTTAATGGTGAACTATAAATAAGAAGGCAGATGTGATGTGAAGTGAAGGCTCTCAGCATGTTATTTAGCCATGCTGTGAACTGGCCTTCAAAACAGAAGTTTCAGACAAGGATACCAGCAAATCAAACGCTGGTTCAGGCCCATCAGTCTTGCGCCTCCTCAGTTGCTTAGGCTTCCAGATGGGAAGAGCCAACAACCTGTCCCACCTGAAAGCAGCAAAGTGTCCTCTTGTTTTCAGATACCTGGATGAAGAGTGCTTTGCTAATTTTTGGAGATAAGGGAATGAGTGGGCAGGGAAAGGCAAGGGAGACAAGCTGAAACTCATGTTTGGTTTGTTTATATGCACACCTGCCAGTTTATCTGTGACCATATTGGGAGTATTTATGTTGGGGCAGTCAAATATTGGCTTAATAATAATAATAATAATTTTTTATTTATACCCCACCCTCCCCGGCCAGAGCCGGGCTCAGGATGGCTAATACCAATAAAATTGCAATAAAATATAATGGGGGGGGGGGGGAGACAAACAAAACAAAAAACAAAAACCAGTTTGTTAAAATATGGGTTAAAATACAATTTAAAATGCAGCCTCATTTTAATAGTAGCCCAGAAATCAAAACCATAAGGGGAGGGAAACATAAGGGTCAGACTGAGTCCAAACCAAAGGCCAGGCGGAACAGCTCCGTCTT